CCGCACGCGCTTGACGGCGAGGCGGCTGGTACTGCCGTCCGGCAGCCGCTCCGTGGCCGCAAACACGTCCGAGAAGGAGCCCTCGCCGACTTTGCTGCCGAGTAGGACGGTGCCGCCACCGCTGCCCTCGCACTTTTCGCTGCGAGCGGTGAAGGCCGCGCGGAGGTGCCAGCGAGCGGCGTTGAAGCAGTCGGAGATCATTGGCGCGGGAGAGGCAGACGATTGGATGACGTAGAGCTCCCTCTCACGACACTGGGCACGGGAAAAGCGCCACACTGGCACTAACACAGGTACACAACCGGGAGCCTCGGTCGCAGGAGAGGGTGGACGGCGGTCGGAAGACAGCGTCGGAAGACAGCGTCTAAAAAGAAAAAAACTCCGCTCACAGTAAACCGATCCACCATCGCACGCGCCCCACACCTTCCTCTCGCCAACACATTGGCCCCGCTCTCGCTCTAAACAATGCGTGTCGCGATCCACATCACCACCGGCTCGCGGCAGGTATGAGCACAGCCACAGGAGCGTGGTAAACCGAACCCCCCGCTCCCTACCAGATTGGTTGGACGCGAACCCGGAAGCGAAGCGATCCCGCGCCGAACTCTCGTGGCTTCCCACGTCATGGATACAGTCATGGCACCGATTTATCGTCCGTTGCATTTCCCGTTTGCGAGCCAACGCGTTCTCGAGACGCGCGAGAGAGAGATTTTTAGCAATACCAAACAACTCTAACACTCACACGTCATTTGGGGCCTGGAGCCCTGTTCACGCGCGCGCGAGACGTGCAGACAGGGTTGCCAGGTGAGAGCGAATGGCGCGGTTCACGCCTCGCACAACAGAGAGAGAGATGCGCTCTGCATGGTGGGACATAAAAGAGAGCGAGTATTTGGGCGAGTAGGTAGGATCGATTGTTGTTGTTTGTAGGTAGGCCGTGCGGTCGACGCTGCCGCGCGCGACTTTGCGCGCGAGGCGGCGCAGCTTGAGAACGGCGGTGGGCGAGAAGCCGCCGCCGAACGTCTCGTGGAGCAGCAGGTTGAAGTTGTTGCGCTTTGTTTTGAGACGCGTGTACACGCATCCGAGCCCGCGCCGAGCGCGCGCATGCCATCCTGGTCGCACCCGTCCTTCTCTCGCGATAAGTCCCCTTGGCGGGCGACTTTGAGCGAGCCGATGCTCAGCGGCGCGATTTCGTAACGCGATGCGCTCAGAGCATGGGGGGTAACCAGTTTCGCACGCCCCGCGAGGTCTCTTGGGCCCCGGGCCCGCGGGCCGACGCGCCGTCTTGCCGGCACTTGGAGCACTTGGAGTGCAGTTATCAACCTCACATTTTGACGGCCTCGCTCGGGCGTTCCATGCTCGCGGCCGTCTCCTCGCACGCTGTGGCGGCGACCGCGACGGCCGGCGCGTGGACCGCCGAGCAGTCAATCTACCGCACCAGGGCTTGGATCGACACTGCGGTCGTCCGGCTAGGCCTCTGCCCGTACGCGGCCAAGCCGTTTCACGGCGACCGCATCCGGTATGCGGTGAGCGACTGCACCAGCGACGAGGCGCTCGTCGCCTCCTTCTTCGAGGAGGGACTGCTGCTGCTCGACTCGCCCGAGGAGGAGCTCGCCACGACGATGCTGATCGCTCCAAAGTATGAGGGCGGGATCGGCGAGTTCTACTCGCTGTACGAGTGGCTCACCGACCTGCTCGAGAGCGAGGAGGAGGAGGTGCTCGCGAACGGAGTCCAGCCCGCCTTCTTCCACCCGGCCTGGTCGTTTGACGGACTGCCGGCCGACTCCCCCATCCACTTTGAGAAGCGTGCGCCCTGCCCCGTCATCAACCTGCTGCGCCGCTCCACCCTCGACCGGACGGTGGAGGCGCGCTGCCTGCGCTCTTCGCTCTCGGCCGCCGCCCCTGCCCACCGCGCCGACATCCCGCCCCGCGTGCGCCCGCGCAGGAGGGCTTACGGCGAGGCGTCATCGTCAACCAGCAGATCTCGGAGCACAACGCGGCGGCGCTGCAGGCGGAGGGCACGCCCGCGCTGAGCAGGCTCTTTGACGACCTCGGCGCGCTACAGCTTCACACGGCCGCGGACGAGGGTGGCGCCGACAGCGGTCCGAGATGAACTCACCATCGACGATCGATATTCTCGTGTACAAGTCGGTGCGTGTTTTCTGAGTCATCTTCTACGTTCTAGACCAAAACGCAAAGAGGTCACACCCTCGTGTAAAATGTGTGGATTGTGTGGTCCCTCGGAGCTTCCGCAAGTTCCCTCGGCTTGTTCCGGTCTTACTGCGTTAGAGTAGTCGCCCCCAAAAAAGGTAAAAAGAGTCCATTCGGCATGTTGTGCGAGTATATGGGCCAAAAGCGTCGAAAATGTCCCAAAAAAGCGTGTCTCGAGTTTGTGGCAGCCCCACAGCCGGCGCGCGCTGCCACGAAGCACCGCTCGCGTGTCGGCCGCACTCCCTGGCACCCAGTGAGTGCGGCCGACCGACCAGACCGAGTAGGCTCGACGCCGCGCTCGCTGTGGGGCTGCCACAAAGTCGCCGCCGAGCGTGCCACCGACGGCGTCCCGGCGGAGGTGATGGAGTGTGAGACCTGAGGCTGCGGAGGGGACGCCTGAGGTACCGGCCCGTGCACAGCGACTCAGCCGGCGACCGCCACGGGCTCAGACGAGACTTGTCGACGCGTTCCGGCTCAGCTTCACCGTGGTCATTGGGCGTCTGTCGACGTCAGGACCACCCATACAGCTCGCGGGTTTGAGGTCGCAAGAGCCAAGATGGTGGCGTTTGGACATCCCAATCATCACACAAGACAGCCTGTAGGTGGTGGCGGGACGGCGCAGTGTCTGCGGCACTCGGCAGTAGGCACCCGCGGCACGGCCCCGCTGTCGGCTCTCGCGGGCTGCGGAACCGGCCCCAGAACGGGACGGTCCGGGCAAGTGTGGCAGCTCCTGCGCTAGTATGGGCACCCTCTATCATAGCACTACTGATCCTGGTCATTAGAGCTGCCAGGGATAGCGTCAGGAGCCGGTAGGAGTCAAAACCTCTCATATTTGAGACATCGTGGCCCATATACTCGCACAACGAGCCATTCTTGACTTGAGTAATGTAGATGCAGATGTAGATGTGGGGAGGCGGCCACTCTGCCTTGTACTCTCTCTCTCTCTCTCTCTCTCTCTCTCTCTCTCTCTCTCTCTCTCTCTCTCTCTCTCTCTCTCTCTCTCTCACTCTCTCTCTCTCTCACTCTCTCTCTCTCTCTCTCACTCTCTCTCTCACTCTATGAAGACTCTATCTCTCTCTCGAGGTCTCGTGCGTGCCGAGAGCTAACCCCCTCAGAGCAACAATAAGCGACTGTACCACGGAGCACAGAGCGCAGCAGACAGGACGGCGGCGACGGCGGACATGGCAGAGACGAGTGTGAAACAAAGGGCGGCGGGGATGGAGGGCGGTAGCGACAGGGATGGTGACGGTGGCGAGGGAGAGGAAGGGGGTCCATTTAACACCAGACAGCGAGAGGGGCAGGGAGGAAAGGGGGAGAGAGGAAGCCAACGGCGATGCCACCAGCAGCAAGGGACACGATGAACAGGTAGACAACGGCCAAGGCGATGGCGAGGACGAGGAGACACGGGACGATGGCAGGCGAGACGAGGAGGACGGAGGCGAGGGAAGAGGCAGCGCCGCAGTCGATGATAGTGTCTGACAGAGACCCGTCGCGCTGGGAGGGACACTATCTTGGAGCGCTCTACATCAAGACTGCGAAAGAAGCGCTTCGCGCCGTCGCCATCGGCGCCACCGCCTCCCACATATTCTCGGCCGGGTTGTACCGCTCGACTGAGCTGAGGAAGCCGTTGTTGGTGCCGCCCACAGCGTAGAGCTTGCCGTCGAGCACCGCCGCGGCGGGAGCAAGCCGCACCGTTGCCATCGGCGCCACCGCCTCCCACCCGTTCGTCACCGGGTCGTACCGCTCGACTGAGCTGAGGAAGCCGTTGTTGGTGCCACCCACAGCGTAGAGCTTGCCGTCGAGCACCGCCACGGCGGGAGCAAGCCGCGCCGTTGCCATCGGTGCCACCTCCTCCCACCCGTTCGTCGCCGGGTCGTACCGCTCGACCGAGCTGAGGCTGCCGTCGTTGCCGGTTCCGCTCACAGCGTACAGCTTGCCGTCGAGCACCGCGACAGCGTGAGCCATCCGCGCCGACGGCAGCGGCGCCACCGCCTCCCACGAATTGGCAGCCGGATCGTACCGCTCGACCGAGCTGAGGAAGGTGTCGTCGTTGCAGCCTCCCACAGCATACAGCTTGCCGTCGAGCACCGCCATGGCGTGAAAGTTCCGAGCCTCCGCCATCGGCGCCACTTCCTCCCACGCGTTCGTAGCCAGGTCGTACCGCTCCACCGAGCTGGAAGTTGCACCGTCCTCCTCACTCTGGCCGCCCACCGCGTAGAGCTTGCCATCGAGTACCGCCATGCGCGCCCTCGGGCGCCCCGACGGCATCGGCGCCACAGCCTCCTCCTCCCACTCACTCGTTGACGGGTCGTACCGCTCCAGCGAGTTGACAAGCTCGCCATCGTTGCGGCCGCCGATCACGACCAAGCGCGGCCTCTCGCGCTTCTTCAGCGTCTCCTTCCAGCCGCGGCGCCACGCGCGGCACGTCCCCTTGACGGCGTGATCCTTGGTCGGCAGCTGGGCGAGGATGTGCGGGGCGAGGTCCGGCGAGAGGAGGACCTCGGAGAGCACCCACTCGGGCTGCTCCACGAGCCGTGCGACGTGCTCCTCCGCCACGCGCATCGCGGCGGCGCTCCAGAGGGGCGCCTGCTCGTCGATGAAGGCGACGAGCTGCTCTGGCGAGAGGCCAGACAGGCGGGCGCCGATGCGGTGCGAGGGCATAGACACATTCTCGGCGCGAGTTCAGTTGCGTGGTGCGGTTTTTCTTTTTCAGGCGTCCGGCGTTTGTTTCTTTTTGGTGGCCAGCCGAGGCGCCGAGTTTTCTCAGCGAAAGTCACGCCTGAGGGCGGCGTGAGGCGATGTGGGCCCTGACCTTGACGTCGGCCGCGCCGACGCCGCTCTCCTCGTCCGTGCCGATCTACGGCCAGTACGAGATCACCCTCGCCGGTCCGTCCGAGGCCACCGTGGCGAATCCCTTCGAGGTCGAGCTCAGCGCGACGTTCACGCACACAGAGCCGCCGACGGGCACTCCGATCGTCGTGGGCGGCTTCTACGACGGCGGCGGCACGTACCGCGTGCGCTTCTCGCCGTCGGCGGAGGGCGAGTGGAAGTACACGACGGCGAGCAGCGCGGCGGCGCTCGACGGCAGCGGCGGCGAATTCCACGTGGTGAAGAAGGCGGCGGGCGACCGCGGGCCGGTGTTCTCGAAGGGCTCCGGGCTGTACTATTCCGACTTCACGCCGCACGTGAGCGTCGGCACGACGTGCTACCAGTGGGCTTCGAAGGGCTTCGACATGCAGGCGCAGACGCTCGAGACGCTGAAGGCGTCGCCGTTCAACAAGATCCGCATGACGACGTTCCCGAAGTGGTACATCTTCAACCGCGCGAATCCCGTCGAGACGGGCGCGCCGTACGCGATCTCGCCGGGCTCGGCGGCGGCGAACGCGAGCGCGTGGACGTGCGTCGGCGAGCACTGCCCGTCGCTCTCCGGCAGCTTCGACCTGAAGCGGTTCAACGTGTCGTTCTGGCAGAATTACGACCGGCTGGTCGGCGCGCTGAAGAAGCAGGGCGTGATCGCCGACATCATCCTCTTCCACCCGTACGATGGCGGCCACTGGGGCTTCGACTGCATGGGGGGCACCGACGCCGAGAAGTACGACACGGCGCTCGACAAGTTCTACCTCAGGTACGCCATCGCGCGCCTCGCCTCGTACTCGAACGTGTGGTGGAGCATGGCGAACGAGTGGAGCTTCAACAAGTGCAAAGGACGCGGCGTCAACGAGTCGGCGAAGTCGCCTCACCCGTCGCCGAGCCCGGTGTGGGACGAGCTCTTCGAGACGCTCGCGGCCGCCGACCCGTACGGCCGCCAGGCGTCGATCCACAACGGCAACCTGCTGTACAACCACTCGCGGCCGTGGATCTCTCACGTCTCACTGCAAGGAATGGAGGAGACCACGCCGGCGATCCGTCAGAAGTACGGCAAGCCGACGCTCTGGGACGAGGTGCGCTACGAGGGCAACATCACGAGCTCGTTTGGGTCGCTGAGCGCCGCCGAGGAGGCCGATCGGTTCTGGTGGGGCGCCGCGCTCGGCGTCCACGTCGGGCACTCGGAGACCGTGCTACGCGCAGCCGTCAAGGACGACGATGCGCAGCCGCTGTGGTGGGCCAAGGGCGGCACGCTCGTCGGCGAGTCGCCACCGCGGATCGCCTTCTTCAAGCAGCTGTGGGCGTCGACCGGCGCCGACTTTGGCGCGCTCACGCCGGCGCACGCGAGCTACGGCCAGGCGGGCGACCCGGTGTCCGACACGCTCACGGGCGACAGCGTGCAGCTCGTCAAGTTCCGCCGCCAAGGCACGTGGAACGTGGCGCTGCCCGGCGGCGGCGGCGGCGGCCGCGCGTGGAAGGCGGTCAGCGTCGACTACTGGGGCATGACGACGACTGAGCTGCCGCTGCCGACGTCGGGCGCGACTGTCGCCGTCGACGTGCACACGCTGCCGTTCACGCTGCTCTTCACCAAGTCGGCGGCCACCGCCGCGTGAGCCGCGTCGCAGCCGTCTCTCCTCAGCTACCTCAAGCTCTTGGACGTCTATCCACCTCCCTCCAGCGCCGCCTCGATCGCGCCGCTCACCTGCGCGACGGCGCGCCAAGCTGTGAACAGGCGCGTGCTCTCGTCGCTCGAGACACTCTCGCTGTGAACGGCGTCTCTTCACAGCTCAAGCTGTGAACAGGCACGTGCTCTTGTCGCTGGAGACATTCTCGCTGACGGCGAGATATTGCCGACAATCACGTGCACCCTGAGGAAGGAGGTGGGCGCACCGAATCTGCTTGCGGCCGCGTCGCCACCGCCGCCTCCGTCACCGACGAGACGCTTTGTCATATGGCTTCGCGTACGCGGACTACAACCTGACCTTCTGCTCCTCGACTTTGCACCTGGTACGCCAGCATGCAGAGCACATTGCTCTCCGGCCCTCTCGGGCAGCTCTCCTGCTTTCTCCTAGCCTCCAAGCACCTGCCTGCTTCGAAGAGGCCAGCAGCCCCGGCGACTTTTACACGTCCACGCAGCGCACGCAAGCTGGCGGCGATCGCGTCGATCAGCTCCCTGGGGAGGTTGAGCAGGACGAGCGGCGGTGGAGGAGAGGGCGTGTGGCGGAGAGTCCATCGATGGCCCGGGGCCTTCGCGGCCGTGCGGTGTGAAAAGACAAAGAAAAAGACGGGGTTCGCCCGGAATAGCGGGCAAAGAGAAAGAGAGACCTAAAGACAGTTTCTTTTCAGGCCCAGACCCCAGTGTGCTGCACGTGCACCATACACGTGAGAGAGAGGGCCTAGAGAACACAACCCCCTCTCTCTTTTCTCCCGTGGTGTACCTGTGTTAGTGCCAGTGCGCGCCAGTCTCGTGCCCAATGCTTGGAGGATTTTCTTTTCGTCTCACTATATTCAGTCACGTGTCTCCTTCCGTTCTCCGATGCAAAGTGCTGCACGTGTCCTTGGTCGACCAATATGGCCAAAACATCGCGGTCCTGGTTTGCCGCGATCCTTTTCGCAGTCACCGCTGTTCCGCATTTTGCTGCGGGCTCGCTCTCTACGGGTGATGTCATGGCACAGATTCAGGCTGCCGCCGTCGCTACTTTTGCAGCAGCGCCGCTGTCGACCACTACGTGTGGCCCGGGGCAAGCTGGCGAGGAGGGCGACTGCCGCCGCTGCCCAGTCGGAACGTGGAGCGATGCAGTCGGCTTGGCATCACGAGCAGACTGCACTCCTTGCCCGAGCGGATCCTTCTCTGACGTATTGGGTGCGATCAGCAACGACACTTGCACGCTTTGTCGCACGGGCATGTTCTCCAAGGAAGGCGCTGGCTACTGCGAGTTTTGCCCCGCCGGCTCTTCCTCTGAGCCGGGAGCCTCGGAATGCACGCCGTGTGGCCCCGGCCGAGCCGGCGAGGAGGGTGTCTGCCGCCGCTGCCCTGTCGGAACCTGGAGCGACGCAGTCGGTCTGACGTCGCGAGCAGACTGCTCTCCTTGCCCGAGCGGATCCTTCTCGGGCGTGCTCGGAGCGACGAGCGGCGACACTTGCTCCCCGTGTCGCGCTGGCATGTTCTCCAACGAAGGCGCCGGCTTCTGCGAGGCGTGCCCGATAGGCCTCTCGTCTGTCACAGGAGCCTCGGAGTGTACGCCGTGTGGCCCGGGGCAAGCTGGCGAGGAGGGCGACTGCCGCCGCTGCCCAGTCGGAACGTGGAGCGATGCAGTCGGCTTGGCATCACGAGCAGACTGCACTCCTTGCCCGAGCGGATCCTTCTCTGACGTATTGGGTGCGATCAGCAACGACACTTGCACGCTTTGCCGCACGGGCATGTTCTCCAAGGAAGGCGCTGGCTACTGCGAGTTTTGCCCCGCCGGCTCTTCCTCTGAGCCGGGAGCCTCGGAATGCACGCCGTGTGGCCCCGGCCGAGCCGGCGAGGAGGGTGTCTGCCGCCGCTGCCCTGTCGGAACCTGGAGCGACGCAGTTAGCCTGACGTCGCGAGCAGACTGCTCTCCTTGCCCGAGCGGATCCTTCTCGGGCGTGCTCGGAGCGACCAGCTCTTCCATCTGCACCCCCTGCCCTGCTGGCTCATTTGCCGAAGATCGCGGCGCCGGCTTCTGCGAGGCGTGTCCTGCGGGTTCGTGGTCCTTTGGTGGCGCCTCGCAGTGCACCGACCTGCTGCTGCCGTGCGCTGCCATCGGTGCCACACTTTAGGTCCCACCTCTCACCGGTCCCGCATCGAGTCTGCCGCGCTCCCCTGTAGTAGGCGCGTTGCTCGCCGCTGGGATCTGCTGGTTCGCACGGCGGGCGCAGCGGCATCGGCGACTCGCACTCGCTGCCGCAGTAAGGGAGCGCGACGAGGAGAGACATCGCGTGCGGGCGGCGATCCACGACGCCTCTTCGCTGCGATACCCCTTCTGCGTGATGCCCTTCTCCGCATTCGTCGCCTTTGGCCAACTGGTCCCCTTCGAGGAGGCGCGTGACAAGAAAGTGCTCACTTGCTGCGACACGTGGGACGCGGCGGCGCGCTTCGCCGCCAACCACCCTCTCATCTTCCTCTCGCACCAGTGGCTGTCGTACGTCTCGCCCGACCCGGACAACGCCCACTTTGAGCACATGGTTGGGGCAGTGAAGGCTCTGGCTGCGGAGCGATGCTTCGACGCCACCGACTGCTACATCTGGTGCGACTATCACTCAATCCCTCAGTGTAACGAGGCGACCAAGGCGCTGGCTGTCAGCTCCATTGCACTCTTCGCCGCCTGCACTTCCCACTTCGTGGCGTGTGTGCCCGAGACGCCACACGTCGACACGACTCTTCTTTGCAACCAGGACACCTACTTGAGTCGGGGGTGGTGTCGCCTGGAGCAGTGGGCCTTTATGCTCGCTAACGGCACCGATGCGATGTTCTTCTGCGGCGCCGACTCAGGCGGTGGGCTGCAGCGCATTGAAGACGTCTCCTCCTGGATCGAGAAGAGCATCATGGTTTTCTGTGGGGCGTTCACGAACGATGGCGACAAGGCGTTGCTCGTCGGCGTCGTGCTAGGCCTCTACGGCCTAGCGTATGTCTCCAAGCTGCAGCGGGCCAAGTCGGCCAAGAGCGCCGACGTGCTGTGGGACCAGCTGCAGAAGCATAAGGCGGCCATCTTCCCAGTCCAATTGTTTGGCGACCTCGTCGAGCTTCTCGAGACGGAACTGGCCGATGCAATGGCACAGGTGAGCGGTGAGAGAAGGCGCCAAAGCCACGCCCGGGGGTCGTTGGCCAAGAGCTCAGCTAGCAAGAGCAGCCGCACGACCAGGGCCGCGAGCCGTCTCAAGGCAAGCACGACGGAGTTTGATCTGTTCGACCGCCAGGGCTTCGAGGAGGTGCTGCAGGCGAGCGACCGGCTGTACAAGCAAGCCATGGAATCGCTCGGCAACCGAGCGGGGTCCTATCCAATACCGTAGCATGAGATGTGGGAGATACGCATGTTGGCAGCATCTTGGCATGGAGTCCATGTCACTGTGCATCACGCATGTGCATGTGCATGCGCACGTGCATGCATGTGCGTACTTTTAGCTCTCTCTCTCTGCATGTACACTGGTCGAGTGAGAGGTTGGCCGTGCGTACGAATTCCGGACGTGGGTGTCGTGTTCACTAGCTCCGAGTAGAGGGGGTGTTCTGGCAGTAGATGGGTGCGCCCTCTGTACGGGATTCACAGACCTTGCTTGTTAAGAAAAGAAAAAATTTGCCGCCCGCCCCTCTTGTGAAGGCCCTTGTGATCAACCACGAAGAAATAACCGTGTCTACCTCGCCTCGATCGATATCGTTGTTCTGGCCGGGGTGCAGTGGCAAACAGGCTGCAAACTCTCCCACTGAAGTGTCTGAACGAGGTCACCTCTGAGCTCTGTGAAGCGTCTGTGCGGAGAACAGAGAGAAGTAGAGTTACTGACAACTGAGTGTGTCCTCTCTCGCGCTCTTTCTAAATAAATAAATAAATAAAAACGGACACCTCTCTACTGTGAGATGGGTAAAAAGGAACAGGTCCCCGCCCGTGCGATCTTTGTGCAGGGTTCTTGGTGGGTGTGGTCGGCGACTAGCCGGGGTCGTCCTCCCGATGGGGGACTAGCACTAGCCGTCTTCCACATTGGGTCTACCCTGCTCTCGTCTGCGCTAGTTTCTGTTTCGTCATCACCGGTGTCCCTCCTCTTCGTTCTCCTCTTCTTGTATGCTTTGTACATCGCGTCGATTCCTTTTCGAATGAGCACCACCCTGAAGCCCGCCCCCAGCAGCTGTGAACCGCTCCCTTTAAGTCGAACGAAGGAGCATCATCAGTCTCACCCACTTCGCTCGCTGCCCACTGTCTCCGCTCCCTCCCGCTTGAGCCGCCGTCGCGGCCCTCGTTCGTCCCACTGGCTGTATTGGCCCGTCCCTGCGTTGCCTCATGCCTGCGTTATCCCCTATATCCCTGCTGCGAGTGCGTGCTGGTGGTGTGGTGCGTGTGGTGCTGGTGGTCCTCGCGCTCTAGAGGCTCGCGCTCTCTCTCTCGTCACGCGTGTTTTTTTCGTTTACATGCATGCACCCTTTTCTCTTAACTCTACAACCTGCACAAACGTGTGTCGTTAACGCTCGCAGCAGTCTGAGACACGCGCTACTGCCTGTGTCGCACGCACACGCGGACTCGAGCACGCGGACTCTCTCAAGCAAGGCATCCCCTGTCACAGGACACCGGTCGGGACACGCTCCAGACACAACCCGCGGCAGACAACACGGTGCGACCCCAGTACGAGCACCCGGCGACAGAGCAGCCCGCATCGACACCCGGGGCGCTCTCGGACACCAAAGGGGGGGAGGGGTGGCGCGGCTGGCGGCCTCAAGGCGCTGCGAGGCCGGCGGGGCGCTGTCGCCCTCGCGCGGCCTCTTTCTCTCTCTGTCTCTCTGTCTCTCTGTGTGTCTCTCCCCCCCCCCCACGACGGCACGCCCGCCGCAGCCGCGCCTTCGTCGCCCCGCCTCCCCCCTCTCACGAGGCTGGCACCGCCGGCGGCAGCCTCGCGTCCGAGGGCCTCCAGCCCTCGGAGCTGCCCTTGGCCTCCGGGGGAGGGAGGTCCTGCGCCTGGTCGCCAGACAGGCGGCGGAGGACGGTGACTGGGCCGGACGAGAGGCGCTGCAGGAAGGCGTTCAGCCGCGCGGTCGTCTCTGGGGACGCGTTCGCGAGCAGCGGCGAGTCGGCGACGGCGCGCACGAGCAGCTCGACTCCGTCGGCAGCCTGGCGGAGGGGCGGAGCGGGCGGGCTGTCTCTTGGGGCGGGCGGCGCATCTCTTGGGGGGCGGGGGGGGGGGGGGCAGGTGGAGCTGTGGTGTGGAGCGAGCGCCTTCTTGGACGAGTACTCGACGGCCGACATGCGCTTCTTGGTGCCCTCGACGCCCTCGGCCACCTTCTTGACGTCTCCCTTGACCTCGGAGACCTCCTCGGCGAGGATGCCAACCTCCTTGGCCACCTCCGTCATCTTGTCCTTGAGCACCTCGATCTTCTCGACCAGCTCCACCTTGAGCTTGTCGAGATTCGCCTCGATCGACGCCTTGAGCTGGTTGAGCCCGGTCTTCATCTGCTCCGCGGAGACCCAGCCGATCCTGGCGGCGGTGGCGGGAGGCGAAGCGGGTAGAGAAGCGAGGGAGGGTGTGCACGGGACGCTGCACTCCAGCTCCCGCCGCGGATGCGCGCCTGTTCCAGCCGTAAATGTACAGCGCGGCGGCGATGCCGGTGAGCGGAACACCGACGAGAAGCATGACGGTGCGCGAGCCAGCGGCGCCTTGAGCGGCAAGCTGACGGTCGAGCGACGCGACGGCTGCGGAGGTGGCTGCCACCGAAGCCGACAGCTGCGCCGCCTCAGCAGAGCGCGCGGTTGCATCGCCCGAGGAGAAGAGCGACTTGAGCAGCGGAATCGGCGCGCCGAGGTCGCTCAGAAACGAGGAGCCAGACGAGCTGTCAGAGGAGGCGTAGGCGGCCGTTCCCGCGCCGCCGAGGCCCAGCAGCCGAAGGCGGGTTCCCATTCTCGAGGTTTGCTTCAAGCGCTCGATGATGCAGTCGCACCCGCGGCGGCCCGAGTGATCACCGAAAGAATTCTGCAACAATGCCGTCTCACAGCAGACACTGGCACCCGGTCCTCCTCCCCCATCCCTCGTTTGGGCTGTCTGTTTTCTTTCTTTCTTTCTTTAGACACTGGCACGAACCAGCACCACAAAAGGCACAGCAGACAACGGCCCCTTATGGGCCGTCGAAGAGGCCGTCATACTCCTCCGGCCTCGCCCCCCCTTCCCAACCCTCCCCTGGCTCAGGCTCCTCATCCTCGCGGCGCGCAGTGCGCACCCCGCCCCGCGAAGACGAACCCTTCCGCCGGCGTGCCTCGCGGGACTGCCGCCCGCTGCCGCCGCCCTTCCCCCCCTCCGCCGCCCGCGCCTTCTCCGCCGCCCGTGCGGCCTCCTCCACCTCCCCTCCGCCGCTAACAGCGCCTCCCTCCGCGTGACCCCTATGGGCTTGTATCGCGCGCCTTGCGGGGGGGGCGCGGAAAAGAGGAACCTCTTCGCGTCATCGCCATGGTGCTGCAAGCAGCGCCGGGCGACGACGACTTACCGCCTCCCGGTCCCCCTCGGCACACCTCCGCTGCTCAATGTTTGACGACTCGAACCCGTGAAGCTTCCCCGCGCGCCGGTTACCCCGCACACGGGTCAGCCTGCCAGCCACAAATCCACGCAAGCGTGGTCCGCGCGCATGGCATACAGGCGTCCGCCAGACAGCGCAGAGGCTAGGCGACCGGGGAAGGACTAGCTCAAGGGCAACACAGCGTCACCAGCCGTTGGCGCGCAGAACGAGTCAGCGGCCCCCGGTTGGGACGAGTGCGCGACGCGGACGAACCGCTCAATGTGGCCGGCAGCTCGCGCTGCCGGCGGGGTTGGTTGGGGAGAACCGGCACGGGGAAGGCCGGCCTCCCCGGAGGGGTCGCCCCCTGGAGGGGCCCCAAAGGGCCCCCCGGGGGGGCGGGGGCCCCCGCCCCGAGGGGCGGGGGCGGGTCCTTCCGTGTCGCTCCCGTCGTCGGGATTGTCCGTCGGGATGGTGTTGTCCGCCCACTCGGTAGCGTTTGAGCCTCTGTCACCTTGCCTGCCGCGAGCAGCTAGCTCGTCGACGTAGTCGTTCCATTTGAGTTGCCGCTGTGACCCGCCACATGCCTCCACGTCACGGTGTGTTTGGCGCGAAGGCGTCGCCAGAGGGAACGAAGGCGTTCCGCTAGCTGTCTGTTCGTTTTGGGGGTCACCCTCCCCATCATGCACGCCGCCGCGTACTCGCTATCAACACCTTTGGGTGTCACACTGCAATGAATTATAAGAGGGGAAATTGGCGTAAGCGTCTGAAAGCAGTCTTGGGTGGTGCCGAGCTGGATGACCGGCCAATCCATAGGTTTTGGACCTTTTTTCAGTGTATGTAGCTCTTACGTACATTCCTTTTTTGTGTCCAAAAATAATGACTTTTTCAGTGTACGTACTTATAGCTTACTGGGAGAAAAGAGAGAGGGGGGTTGTGTTCTCTAGGCCCCTAAGGGCCCTACGCGCGGCGTGAGAGCTCGGAAGCGAGCTTTGCACGGCGATCGAGGATGGCACGGTTTACCCCCTTCACCGAAGCGATGGAGATGCGTTCCGCGTGGTGTGACACAAATGAGAGGCGGGAGTGGGGAGGGTACGCGGTGCGGTCAACGCCCGAGCGTTGAGCCTTGCGCGCAAGGCGGTTGATCTTTGCAACTGCTCTCTCTCAGTGTATGTAGCTCTTACGTACATTCTTTGTGGTCGCCCCGCAACGGCTCCTCATCCGGTGGCGGTGGCTGAGGTTCCTTCGGTCGCGGCGACAGCGCCGTCGACTCCTTGGTTCGCCGCTCCTGTAGCGCTTTCCGAAGCTGCTCTCGCGGCACTGCAACTGGCGCCGGACGCCGCCGCAGCTGCTGCTGCTGCGGCGGCGGCGGCGGCGCCTTGACCTGGCGTGGCGACGGCACCTTGACCTGGGGGCTGTTTCGACTGCGCGCTTCAGAGTCGCATTCCAGGCCAGCACGGCGCAGCGCCCGCTCGTGTGCTCGCAACATCCTCCCACTTGGGCTCTGATCCACAAGTGCGGGAGACGCGGACACTTCTTGCTGCACGCGTCGACACGTGCTGCTGCTGCCGCCGCCGCCGCCGCCGCCGCTGCCGCCGCCGCCGCCGCCGTGTCGAGTCGGTCGCTGCTGCGGCGACGCGTGCAATGCGCTCGCCGTCATGGTGCAGAGCCGCGTTGCATTTGGCAGTTCGCGAGAAAGGCCGACACAACTCTCGCGAAAGGCGGCGGCCCGTACGACGCGGAGAAATTCTTCTTCGATTCCATTCTTCCTTCCAAAAAGAAACGACACGGTGCACGCTGGCCGAGCCGCTGGCCAGCGGTGGCAGCCCGCTGGCAGGCGGCGGAGTTCGCGAGTAGATGCCACGCAAACAACGCGGCCGGCGGTCCGATGCGCAGCATGCGCGGCAGCATTGGGTGCCGCCACGCTGGTCACCTGCCACTGCTGCCACCGCCGCCACTGCCGCTGTCGCTGCAGCGAGCTCTGATTCAGCGAAGCTCAACATTACCCCGGCAGACGTGCAGTGGCGTCGAGAGCACTGCACGCCGCTTCCGCGCTGGCCGCCTTCGCGGTTCTCGCACGATCAGGACTGGGTAACGCTGGCCGATGGCATGGCCGTTGCCGACGACACTCTCTGGCGGTGGGCGGGCGGCGTGGAGGGCGGGCTTGTCAACCAGCGGACTGGCGGGCACATCAACTACCGAGGCGAGGGCCTCGTGCGCGGCCACGGCGACAAGCCGCCGTTCCGTGCGGCCGCAGCGGGGCGTGGCACCCGGCTGCACCGCGTGCCAATCCGCGCTGACGCCCACCGCCAGGACGCTCCGCCGTGCGAGCGGCCGCCGGCGACGTTTGCGCTGCGCTTTGTCTCGAGCAGCACCTTTCTCGAGGCGCCCTGCGCGCGAGGAGATGCGCCTGCCCCGCCGCCTCCCAGCCCGCCGCCTCCCAGCCCGCCGCCTCCCAGCCCGCCGCCTCCCAGCCCGCCGCCTCCCAGCCCGCCGCCTCCCAGCCCGCCGCCTCCCAGCCCGCCGCCTCCCAGCCCGCCGCCTCCCAGCCCGCCGCCTCCCAGCCCGCCGCCTCCCGACCTGCAGGTTGACGACGGGGACGGGACCGTCGTCGCACGCTCGCGCGAGTGCTCCGACCTGCCGGCCTGCCTCTGGGACCTCGAGCCGCAGGCGCACCAGCACCTCTGCCACCCCTTGCCCTCCTCTCCCTTGCCCTCCTCTCCCTTGCCCTCCTCGCCCCGGCCCTCCTCGCCCCGGCCCTCCTCGCCCCGGCCCTCCTCTCCCCGGCCCTCCTCTCCCCTGCCCTCTGTGCCCTATCCAGCATCCCACACTCGAAGCGCACGTCGCCGCGGCACCGTGCGCGATCGAGTGCCCTCCTCTCCCCCTCATCCGCCCGCCCGCCGCTCCGAGCAGCCGCCGCCCTTCGCCGACTGGCTCGCGGTCCGCTCTCGCCTCACCGGCCTCCTGCTGCGCATGGTCGACGCCTCTCACCCGCCCTTCTCCGGGTGGGAGGGAGTGGCGGCCAAGGCTGCGCTCACCCCACCTGCTGCTCACTGCACCTCCTCACTCCACCTCCGCCTCCGCCTCCCGCCGCACACAGCGGTACACCTCGAGCCCAGCTCGGCCCACGCCCAGCTCTGCTCCTCCGCCCCGCCACCCATCCGCCCCAAGGCCCCCCCCAGCTCTCGCCCTCCCCCCCGCTCCGCAGGCGCGCCAGAAGCGACCGCACCGCCTCGAGACGGAGCGCGCCGCCGCCGCCGCCGCCCTCTCGCCGTCGGGCGAGTGCCCCTTGCGTGAGCCTGCGGCGGCGCCGGCCGGGTGGAGGCCGGCTGCGCCACACACGCGCACACTACTTGCTTCGACGCGGGGAGCGCTAAGCTCGACCGAGGCTGGCCGCGAGTAGGTACAACTGCTCCGCGTACTCGGCGCAGCTGCGCGAGGCGCTTCTCCCGTGGAGCAGCGGCGGCCTCTCTCCGACGGCCATCGACATGGTCTTTTGGAACGAGATGTACCCCCCCGCAAACAAGGCGACCAGCCGCGGCGCCCCCCCAGCGCCACCCCAGCGCCACCCCTGCCCGCCGCACGCGCCTGCCCGCCACTTCACCTCGCCGGCCAGCTCCGCCCGTCTCGAGTCCGACCCTCCCCCCCGACAGGCGGAGCAGCCGTCGCTGCACCTCTCCCTCGCGGCGGGCGAGCTCACCTACGCGTGGCAGCCTGATTAATTAATTAATTAATTACGAAATTAATTAATTAGTTAGGCGAGCTCACCTACGCGTGGCAGCCTGCGGACGGCCTGCCCGGGGCGGCGCCGCCCCGCAACTCCTCCGACGCCGCCGCGCTGCGAGGGCTGCGCCGCGCGTCCGCCCTCGTCGCTCTGCCGCCCGTCGAGGTGGTGGCGCACTCGAGCAGGCTGCCAAAGGTGCCGGCGCAGAACCCGGAGCCGGTCCTCTCCCCGGTCGCCGACGCCGCGCATTCCGACGTCGTCGCGCCGGCGCCGTGGGCGTGGGAGGCGGCGGCCGGGCTGCCGCGCGCCGCGCCGTGCCCCGCCGCGGGAGGGAGCAGAGGCGGCGGCGGCGGCGGGCGCGGCGGCGGCGGCGGGCGCGGCGGCGGCGGCGGGCGCGGCGGCGGCGGCGGGCGCGGCGGCGGCGGCGGGCGCGGCGGCGGGCGCGGGCGTGGGATCGGAGCCGGCGGGCGGCCGCCGCTGCTGCTCGAGGCGCGGTGCGAGGGGCCCGAGGATGGGTTCCGCGGCCCGCTGTGGCGCTGGTACGCGCCGCACGTGGCTGCGGTCCTCGCGGCGCGCCACCCGCGCCTGATCAAGGCTGTGCTGCGCGGCGCCTGCGTCGGCCCGCGGCTGGAGGGCGGCGGCCAGCCGGTGGCCCAACCACCGCCGCGGGCGGGATCGTGGAGAGGTTCCGCTCACGCCCGCCACTCCCCCTTCCCTCGTGCAGGTCCTCGAGCTTGCGTGGGACCGCCTCGCCGCGCAGTCGCTCGAGGAGGAGCTGGCGCGGTCGGCGGTGCGGAGGGAGGCGCGCGGCAAGGCGGCGATCGGAGGCGCCTCGTCATCGATGTCCTATAATCACGCACACACGCTCTCACAGAACATGTCTTGCAGGCACCTCGCCCGACGAGGTCGACGCGTGCGACTACCCGTGGGTGCTGCTCCTCGACGGCACGGGCCCGCCCCGCGAGCTGCTGCCCTCGCTGCGGCGCGGAGCCACGGTCTTCAAGCAGGCGTCCCCGTACGCCGAGCACTGGTACGCGCGGCTGCGGCCGTGGGAGCACTTTGTGCCCGTGGCGGAGAACCTCGCCGACCTGCCCGCCCGCGTGCGCTGGGCCTCGGACCACCCGGAGGAGGCGGCCGCCATCGGCGCGCGGGGGCGCGCGCTCGCCGAGTCGCTGCACGAGCTCGAGCTCGCTTGCTACTGGTGGCAGCTCCTCACGGCCTTCGCGCCGCTTCAGTCGCACCTCCCTCGCCGGCTGGCGGCGAGAGCGTGAGTTTGCGCGCTGGCGCGGGGGTTGTCCGGCACCGCCCGGATGTGCAACGATACGTAAAAAGTGCCCTTTACGGCTTACGTTCGCGTCCGGACCCATCTCGCTGTGTGGTGTGTGTCCTGCAGGGCACACGTGACCGACACGTCCTCCACGCGGCACGGGGACCGGCCAAAAACGGACACCTGCGCACGTCACAGCAGTGACGGGTGTTGAAGAGGGCGGTTAGGTATAGGAGCTATAGGATGGCGAGCTCTGCGTAGTACACACCTTTTATAGCACGGGTGATGGCGATATCAATATATGAGATGTGTTAATGAAAATGACTGCTTCCTTCGGGTGAGACTCTGTCACGCTGACCGATCCGCGCGTCGCGCCTCGGGCCTCGCTGACTCGCCCCCTCCTCGCCCTCTGTTCTCCGTGCCCGGCATCATGCCATCACCTGCCCACAGAGGGGTCTGCCCACGGAGCTTCGGAGGCACGGTGGCCGGAGCAGCACGCTCTGGCTGGGCGCAGCGGTGAGGCCTGCCGCCTATCGCCGCTGCCTCGCTCACTCCTCCGGCTTCGCCTCTGCCTCCGTGGTAGAGGCGTCGCCTCCCGCCCCGAGCTCCTGGCTGGGGTTCGCCTCCTCCTCGGCCTCGAATCGCGAGAATGCGAAGCGCGTCTCGTACGGCGACGTCACCTTGTACATCGCCGCGCTGCCTGTAACATGCACAGAGCGGCGGTCGGTGCGGGAGCTCGCTGCACCACCCGACGATGCATGCGGCGTCCGCCTTCGATTGCGCCCTCCGCCATCGCGCTGGTCTTGAAACGGCCGGCGTTGCTGCCGGGGTACTTGTCGCGCTTGCCGTCGCGCGGTGTCGTCGCAGAGAAGGACTGACCCACGATGCCTACACGCACATGCTCCGAGAAGGTCTACACAACGCCCTCGGATCGCGACTCTTGGCCGGGGGGACCGTGAGGGAGGGAGCGGGCCGCCGCGTCGCCCTCCGCGTGGATGTTTACATCGAGCTGGTGCTTCGGGCCGGAGACCCAGCCCTCGACGCTCTTGGCGCCGACGGTGAAGGTCCAGCCGCTCACCTTTGGGAGGGGTGGGGGTAGGAGGGGCGGCTCTGTACTTGCGTTCACGTGGGAGATTATCGCTGGCCGGGAGAGCGGCCGCCTCGAACTTGGCAGACGAGTAGTGCGGCTTGATGGAGAGCTCCTCGCAGCGTCGCAGCGTCGTCCCAAGCCCGAAGGAGAAGGCGTGGCCGCCGCAGGATCCGGTGATGAAGTCGAGGCCCGTGTTGAACTCGGTGAGCCGCGAGGAGAGGAAGGAGGCGTTGGCCCACTTGCGCTTAATGCCGCCCACGCGTGCGACGACGTGCGCCTAGGCGCGAGCCGCACGGTGACAGGGGTCTCGCCTGGAAGGAGAGGGGACGGGGAGGGGGCCTCGGTGATGAACGACCCGTCAATGGTGGTGCCGGGCCACCAGGGCGGGTTGTAGACGACGTCTTCCCACCGTCTTGACGTTGAGCGCAACGCCAGGCGCGGAGAAGAAGCAGACGATCGTATTGTCCTCGCCGCGGTAGTCGGCGCGGCCACCGTGCGCGTGGAGGTGCGGGTCGCCGGTGGAGCCAATTGGCAGCGGGCCTGGCGATGGGGATGGCGATGGAGAGGGCGTTCCGCAAATCTGGTCCCTAGTATGCTGCTGACAAGTGGAGAGCTCGAGAGCGCGGCCGCGGCCAGCGAGGCGTCGGCCCTCGACGGTGCGGTACGTCGGTGGCGCCAGGGCGCGAGAGTGCGATGCTGGGGAGTCTTGGGTATCTGTAGGCGAGGAGATGCCGCCGACGCTCGTTCGCCTTAGGCGAGCGCCGGCAGCCCAAAATCCTGCCCGAGCTCTTGCTTGAGCGCGTGCACGTCCTCCTTGTTCAGCTTCGCGGCAATGCTCGAGCGTCGCGAGAGGAAGCCGTCGACGATTGCCGCTGCCGTCTCCGCCCCCCGCGCGCCCTCCTGCTGCGCCTTCTCCTCGAGACGACGGTCGCCGGAGCACGCAATCTTGCACGTCCCCGATGATTCGTCGAGGTACGTTCCTTCGCCGCAAGCCCCGATGGGCGGCGACGACGGCGGGGCGGGTGCCGATGGAGGACGGAGAGGATAGTCCCCAGGTAGATCCGACCCGCTGGGGTCTTGGCATTCTGCGTACTTGGTAGGGTTTTGGTCTTCCAAAAACCTGGATACCACCATCGAGCAGTCTTGGCTAAACTCCGTGAAACACCAGCAAGTCTTGAGTGGCAGGGGGGGCGGAGATGGCGGGTAGGCCGAAGTGGTGCTCGGCTCGGATACGTACCGCGGTGTTGTCGTCATCCTTGGCGCACTCGCTGAGGCATTCGTCGTAGGTGGCTAGATCGGTAAGCCCCGCCTGAGAAGTGAAGTCTGGCTTGGTGTCAACCACATAGCAATCCGCGACCGCGAAATTTGTGCATCCGTTGCCAACATCCTCCTCCAACGGGCAGCGAGTGTCGCCGCCAAAGATTGGCTGACCGAGATACGTGTCTCTAGTCATATACTCTGGATCGCCCCCCGCCATGTTCCATACGTGCTCGGCAGCAGTTGAGTAATGATCATAGCCATACACGTCGCTCTTGTACATTTTGCAGTTCTGCGCCAAATAGGGATGGAAGGCGAACCAGTCGCATTCCCCCCTAAAGTTCTCGACCTTACACGACAGCTGACATTTCTCAAAGTTTTCTTCGCGCCTTACGGTGGGGTTATCGCTGTAATAAAGAGGAGGGCCAACGAACGCACGAGCGCACCGGCCGTTGAAGGGGAATTCGCCGTCGGGGAGCGACATAGCAGCGGCGAACTCAGAAGCGCGAACTCCGACGAACTGCGTCGGGGAAATCGCCGTCTCTTTGGCCCACAATGCCTTGCCGTCCTTGCCGCCGGACACGTATCTAGATACTTTAATCCAGTCGGCGAAAAGGACGGCTGCTGTCCGGGGCACCTCCGCTCGAATCCCTGGCTAGGGGTTCGAGGTGGCCCCCACCCTGGGGCCTCCCATCAAAGGGACTGCTGCGGCAGAAGACGCCCAATCTTGCACAAGTGCAAGAACCATACATGGTGTTGATTAGAGCGCGCATCGAGAACCTACTAGTACCTGTGTGTTCGTGTCGTCCATTCTTTGTGCCGGATTCCGCGGAGCGATTTTTTTTCTTCGGGCTACGGCGTCTGTTCAGCGAACACGCAAGGGGCGGTAATGATGAGGTCGAGCTTGGCCTTGAAGTCGAGGAATGTGGACTCCTTTCGCAAGCCGAGCGGGCGGGCGGGCGGCTGCCGCTCTGCCCACGGCGGTGGAGCCGGCATCTTTGAAGTGTGGAGCGTGGCGTCGGACGCGGCGTGCAGGAGCCTGTGCCAGCAGGAGCCGAGCTGCGAGGCGTACGAGTGGGCATCCATCGGCAAGTCGTTCAGGCGGTGCGAGACCCACACGGCGCCGGTCACGCACGTGGTGCCGCTAGACGGCTACACCTGCTGGCAGCGCGTGCGTCGAGCGGCCGCCACTACGCGCCGTGTCCAGCCACCGCCGCCTCCGCTGCCTCCTCCAACGCTGGATCCAAACAGCTGCGCCGTGTGCGGCCACCTGGGCGGCGGCTCGCTCAACTGCTGCGGGCCGGGCGGGTCGTGGGAGGGCCGCTGCGCTCACGACCCGGGCAAGAGCCGGATCAACTACATCGAGGGCTACATCGTCTGCTTGCAGTCGCCGCCGCTGCCGCCGCCGCCGCCGCCGCCTCCGTCGCCGCCGACCCCCGCCTCTCCGCCGCCCTTTCCGCCGGGTGTGGTCCAGGGAGGCTTGGCGCAGCACCACCTGATGCCGCGCTGCCCGTGCCTGTGGGTGCTCCCGGCAGGGCAGCAGCAGGGCGGCTGTCGCTCGGCGGTGGCGCGTGACTCGCGAGGCGGCTTCGAGCTCGCCGTCGGAGTGAGCGACAGCGAGTGCAGAGCGAGGTGCGCGGCGGACCGCGCGTGCACCGCCTACGAGCACTCGGGCATCCACCTCGGCCGCCGCTGCGAGCTGCACCGCACCCTCGTCACACACACCGCGCCCGCCGGAGGCTTCGTCTGCTTCGTCAAGTCAACAGACGGCCTCCTCCCCGCCGCGTCAGTCTTCGCCGCACCGCTGCCGCCGCCGCCGCCCTCCCAGCCCCCCCTGCGCCCTCCCTCGCCGCCTCCCCCGCCGCCGTCGCCCTCGACGCCACCGCCGCCAAACCCACCCACCCCAAAGCCTCCTCCGCAAATGCCCCCCTCCCCGCCCCCTCCATACCTCCCGCCCTACCGCCCACCGCCGTCACCGCCGCCGCCGTTGCTGCCGCCCTCGGCCCCGCCCCCGTCGCCGCCCTCCCTCCCGCCCTTGCCGCCGCCGCCCTCCGCGCCGCCACCGGCCATACCCCTGCCCAGCCTGCCGCCGCTGCCGCCGCTGCCACCCGCGCCTCCGTCCGAGCCGCCGCCCTCGCCGCCGCCGCCGTGGCTGCCGCCGCCGTCCACGCCGCCGCCATCTCCGCCGCCGTCGCCGCCACCGACCCCCCCGAGTCCTCCTCCTCCTCCGCCGCCGCCTACAACGCCGCCAGCGCCGCCGCCGTCGCCGCCGTCGCCGCCGCCGTCGCCGCCTCCGCCGCGCCGGCCTCCGTCCCCGCCTCCCAACAGCTGCCTCTCGCTCGCCGCGCGCGGCGCAATATTCGCGGGCCCGCTGGAGACGATTGAGGTCCACGACCCTTCCCTCGGCACCTCTGGTGAGGTCAAGCTGAGAGGCGGCCGAGAGGCGGCCGAGAGGCAGCCGAGGTGCAGCTTGGTTGCAGCCGAGAGAACCCTCAACCACGACTCCCCCCTTGAAGAACCTCGGCTCCATCTCTCTACTGCTCTCGGCTGCTAGGCGGGGTCTGCGTCTGCCCCGACGGCTCTCCCCACTTCGCCGCCGACAACAACGACGGCTGTGCGCGTCCCTCTCTCGCCTGCCTCGGCGCCTCCGAGGTGGCCGCGTGTCTCCATATACAGGTGGCGTGTCCTGTAGGTGCGTCCCTCGCCTGCTTCGGCGCCATCTCGGGCTCGTGCAACACGTCTCCGGGCGCCTGGTCGCACAAGCGAGTCACGTGCGGCGGCTGCAACGCGATGCGCAGGGCGGACTTCCGCGGGGTCGACCTGTCCTACTCCAACTTCGAGGGCGTCGACCTCTCCGAGGCGCGAGGGTCGCCCCCCCTACCTTGCCCCACCACCTCGTATGTGTGTGGAGAAGTTTACCTTTACCTTACCTTACCTCTCCCAGGCGCTGCTCGACGGCGCCGACCTCTCGCACGCGCGCCTCTCGGGCGCCACCGCCAGCGGCGCCTCCTTCGTGGGCGCAAGCCTGGTGGGGAGCCTGCCCCGCGTTTGCACGGCGCCGGCCTTCCCTCGGCCGGCTGATCCTAGGGATGATCTCGGCCGCATCTCGGGCACAGGTGGGAGCGGACCTGTCCGGCGCTGACCTTCGCTCGGCGATCCTCGCGGGCGCGAGGCTGCAGGAGGCGAGGCTGTCGCGCGCCCGGCTCGACAACGCCAACCTGAGCTTCGCAGACTTGCGCCGCGTCTCGATCGACTTCGTCGACGAGGCGGCCAACGCCACCTTCGACGGCGCTAGCATGGAGGGGGCCGTCTTCAAGAAGTGCGCCATCTCGGGCGCTCGAGGTCCGGTGTGGGGGGGGGCGGCTAGTTGACTCGCCTCCCCTGAGCGGCAGGTGCGTCCTCACTCGAGCCTCGTTTGAGGGGGCGAACCTCGAGGGCGCACGCTTCGACGACTCGAGCCTCGTCGGCTGCCGCTTCGGCGCGACGGCGCGTCTCGCGGGCGCCTTCTTCGCAGACAGCCGCCTCGACCTCTCCTCCTTCCGCGGCGCCCTCATGGACGGCGTTTGGATGGACCTGTCGCAGGGACGATCCTCCTTCCGCGACGGCCCAGCTCACCTTTCCGTATGAGTGGCTCTCTAGGCGTCCAGATGGACAAGACTCGCGCTGTCCGCACCGACTTCAACCGCGCCTCCCTCCGCGGCGCAGAGCTGGTCGGTTGCCAGTTCTCCCGCTCCGACGCCCGCTTCGCCGACTTCACGAGCGCCGACCTGACCGGGGCCGACTTCACGGGGGCCCTGCTCTACCGCGCGGTCTTCCGCAAGGCCGACATCACCGACAGCAGCTTCAGGCGCCCGCCGCACACATGACACGCCAGTGTGTGTAACGTGCAGGGGTGCACGCGCTCCTTGTGTGCCGATCCCTAACTTTGCCTCATAGGCTCGTGAGGTATCACGAGGCGGACTTTGCGGGGGTCATCGGGCTGGCGACGGCAGACTTCATGGACTCGCGGGGGATTCCAAAGGGCATGCCAAAGACGACCACAGTCTCGAGCTGGCGAGGATAGCTTCCACATAGCGCGCAGGCTCCACAGGCAGCGCGCACCCAATCAATACCGCGCATTGACATGTGCGGTGTTCGGTCTCACGCCCATTTTTCATGCACTCATGCACAATAAAAAGTGCTACACCCTACAGCTACACGGCTCACGCGTCACGGCTCACGTCGTCACTGTGTGCACATACAAGATACGTACATACCGTATAAACTAATACTGGCACACCTGCCCCCGGCCCGGCTGCCGGGTGCCGCGCACGCCGCACGCCGCACGGCCACGTGCAGCCTGCACATCGTCGTCCCCCACTCTTTCTCTACACTACATTAACGTTGGACAAATCACCGTCACTCGTTAGTGACGATGGCTGCGACCGCGGCGTGGACGGCGTCCTCGAGCTCGTTAGTCAGCTCACACCCCTCGAGGTCGCCCTCGAGGTCGACGGCCCCCGTCGCCGAGTTGGAGCGGCGGAGCTTCACCTCCTGCAGCGAGGCGCCTGCAAGAGAGCCAGGGGGAAATCAGCCCGGCAGTGCTGTGCACGACGGGGCACGGGGGGCATGGACCGGCCACCTCGGGGAGTGGGGGAGGAGGAGTCGTCGATGGAGTCGTCGATGGAGGAGAAGCAGCCGGGCAGCGGAGTGGGTAGCCCCTTTGACGCGCGGCGGATCATCCTCCGGACGGAGGCGTTGTCGTGCTCGAGTGCGATGAAGGAGATGGAGTCGTCCGAGGCGCAGGTCGTCCTCGAGGCGTTCGACACCTCGGAGCCGCCGGAGCGGAAGAGGAAGGAGGGAGACGCGGCGCGGCGCGGCGACGGAGTGCTAGGTGTGGTGGGCTGGCGCGGGCTTCCCAGGCCGATGCTCGACGAGCGGCGCGGGCTGCCGGCTGAGCCCATGCTAGAGCGACGGCGCATGACCTCGTCGCCACCTCGAGCCAGGAGCAGGGCCACCATGTCCTCGCCGGACTCCTCGAGCTCGGCGGCCATGTGAATCGGCGTCATGCGGTAGACGTCCGGAAGGCCAATCTCTCTGCACGGAGTCTGCCTCGTAAGGACTTCGACGGCTTGCAAATGCCCGTGAGAGACAGCGACATGCAGGGCCGTCTGCCCGTCCGAGTCTACCGCATCCGCTCGCGCGCCCGTGGAAAGCAGAAACGCCAGCTGAGCTGACTCGCCGCGCTCCGCCGCCTCGTGCAACGGCGTGGAGCCCAGATGAAGAGCGTCGCCGCGCTCCGCCGCCTCATGCCCAGCCTCGTGAGGCGGCGTGATGGCAGCCTCGGCGAGCGGCGCAAGACGAGAGGCGCTTGCCATCGATGAGGTGCTCGGGTATATACAAAACGCCGTCAAAAACCATGAATGACCCGGTTTGCTGAATCCGACCAGCGCTCTACGCTCGTCGGTGGCGGCTTCCCTCAACCTGCGCCGCGCTCGGCGAACCTCGACAGCGCCTTCGGAGAGAGATTTTTATTAACCAACAAGAAATCACGACTCTCACAGTGATTTGGGCTCGGCAGCTTGTTAGCCCTCAGCCGAAGCTGGGGCCGGTCCCGTAGCCGAGAGAGCCCGCGCCGATGAGTTCGACGCGGTCGGGGGGGCCTGCGGAGAGGCCAGCGAGGTGGCGATCGCTGTACTTCATGGCGCCCTCAAAGTGGGGCTGGCTGACCCGCCAGAGGTCGATACTCTGGGCGACCCATCGGATGCCACGAATGCCTGAAGGAGAGGGAGGCGAGGCCAGAGGCAGGCTCAGCTGCTCTCGGGTGATCACGCTTTGGTGGCTGAAGGACCCGATGGTCCTGTCACATTCGTTCGTGGGGTCGCGCTCTCTCCGCCTTCGGTGGCATGCAGCTCATTGCGACAGAAGCCTGGAGAGCAGCTCCTCTGCTGCTCACACGCTCGCACAGATGGCACAGCCTACTGTGCGGCTGCCACAGCTGTCACAGCGATGGGCTCGCCCTCACTGGCCCTCAGTCACTTGTGCTGCGGCTTGTGTGAGCGACACTGCTCGGCGACTGCCGGCAGACTGTGAGACTCCATGGGTGTGAGGTAAAACCACGCTACCAGCGCTTGGTCACATATCGGCCCCGAGGTCAGATCCTTCTACTCTGTTCGTCTGTTGTTGACAAGAAACTTGTCTACTCGGTACTCGCTCGAGCCGAGCAGGAGGGCCTGGCGCACACAGCCCCTGTGGCTGTGCAACTCAGGGTCCACTCTCCACACCAGGTCACCACATCCCGTACTTTTACAGACGGCGCATGATAAAAGATAATAATTATATATATGCAAAAAAAACGCAGGACGCAGCGAGCCACGAGAGATGCACGCCCAGGACTACATGCGACAGAACAACAACACAAACAGCGCCGACCCACAGCGCGCGTCTCACAGCACCCTCTCGGTATCCCTCCCCTCGCGCACCACCACCCGCACGTCGGGACTGAGCTCGAGCTCGCTCAAGTCGTAGCACTCCTCCCCGTGCTCCCCGTGCGGGTTGCCGAGCCCCTGCCCTCCGCCCGCCTGCCGCTCCGACACAAAGACAACATCGGGGTCGAGGATCCGCGTGACCGAGGAGATGGGTGCCGGCGCCGCCTCCTCGTCGTGCAGCAGCACACGCACGCCGTCGTCCTCGCTGCTCGCACACAGAGGCCGAATGTGCGGATCGGGCTCCACCACGCTGTGGTGGACGTAGACGCCGAGGCGACGCTCGCCCTCAGACACAAACTCGACGCAAGTGAGCCCGTCCTCGTACCACCCGTCGTCCCATTCGGCGGGCGCGTAGGCGACAGGCGAAGCGCGCGGCGCGGCAACCGCGGAGCGCAGCAGCGGCGCGGCAACCGTGGAGCACAGTGGCGAGAGCGAAGGCCACGTGGGACAACTCAGCGCGACAGCAAGGTGGAGCTGCATACACATATCCAGCACAAAAATGCGCTAACCGGGGTTCGGACTTTTTGCGGGGTATGGTATGGTAGGGTCGGCGCCCTGGCGCCGCGACCATACCCCCCCACCCGCACAGGACGTCGCCTCTGGCCAGCAGGACCATACCCCCCCACCCCCCACCCCACCACACGAGCGCGTACAGTAACCGTCGTGTTAGGCCGTCCGGTCGTGCGGCACGTGTTCGCGCGATGCAGTCTGCGCGAGGTGACCCGCCGGCAATCGTGCTCACCCCTCAGAGCGTGTCCGCAAAGGCCGCCAGGGCCTTGCGTGCCGGCGCAGGCGCGGGCGCAGGCGCGGGCGCGGCCGGTGCGAGCGCGGGCGCGGGCGCGGGCGCGGTCTCCGCCGGCGCCGCCTCCGCCATGGTCACCTCGGGCGCGGGCGCGGGCGCGGTCTCCGCCGGCGCCGCCTCCGCCATGGTCACCTCCGCTGGAACGGCCTCCGCCTCCGCCGCCTCCGCTGGCGCCACCTCCGCCTCCGCCATGGTCACCTCCGGCGTCTCGCCCTCCGCGCCATAGCTGGCCAAAGGCACGCGCACGAGCGGTACGCGCGCCAACAGCTCATGCCCCGCGCGCTTCGCGAGCCACGACGGCGATTTGAATCGAAAGGCAGAATCAACGACATCGGCATCGAGCGCCGCGTTGAGGTCCGAGAAGAAGGTGGAGCGCGCGTGGACGAGACTCGCGCAGGCCTCGCGATAGAGCATCGGTCCGTCCTGCAGGACCACACCACCGACGGTGATCCCATGCCCGACTCCTCGGGCGAGGGCAGCGGCATTGGATCGCCACGCCGCCCCTCCCCGGGAAGTGGGGCCAGCTCACTTCGTCTTCGATCGAGGACTCGCGCCCGCCCCCGCGGTCTCCCTATCGTCCTCGGCTCGTCCGTACGTCCCGACTCTACTCGCAATGGCCGCGCCAGCTCATCTCTCACCCTCTCCGACAGCTGACCCCAAGCCCCCCCGGGGCCCTCCGGCCTCGGTCCCCCGGCCCGCCGGCGGGACCGTTATCGCATTGCTTCATCCTCTGACTCATCGCTCTCCTCGGCTTCGTTCTGCGACGCCGCCGCCGCCTGCCTGCCGATCCCTTGCTAAGAAAGAAAGAAAGAAAACAGAGAGCAAGGGAGGGATGGGAGAAAGAACGGCACGCCGCCACCACACAGGGATTTTAAGGAGAGCTCGCAGGGCGTGCATGGAACGCGGCACACAAAGCCCACGACGAGGTTCCCCTCTCGCCAGTCGCTAAAAAGGGAAACAGACAGCTGGGGACGCGTCCACAGCTCGTGCGTCCTGTCTACACGCCACCAATGCCTGCCCTCATGATCATGACGACGCTCCCCGCGACCTCGTACCTGCACGGCGGCTTCCACCCGCTCGTGCGCGCGCCGCACTTCGCGCCAGCGCCGCTCTACTCCCTCTCCGACTTGATGCTCGACCGCCGCCCATCCTTCCACCGCCTCCTTTCGCGTCCGCCCGAGCACTGGTTCGAGGGCGTCGCCTCCTTGGCCGAGTCGCTACGCCACCACGCTCAAGCTCACTGGACCGATCTCGGCGACGCGGTCGAGCTCAAGCTCGCCGTGCCGGCCAGCGGTGAGGTCGAGGTGATTGCGCCGGACCCGGACGTCTCTGAGCTCCGGATCATGGCCACGGGAGGAGATGAGCGTGGCGTCAAGTGGTCCAAGACCGTCGCGCTCGACCTGCCCTTCGACCTGAAAGACGTGAGTGACGTGAAGGCCAGCCGGGACGGCCAGGTGCTGACGCTCCTGGTCGCCAAGTCGGCCGCGGCGCCTCCGGAGCCTGAGCCTGAGCCGCCCGTCCCTGTCCGCATCGAAGTCAAGGAGGCGCCGAAGGCGGCACCGGAGGCGGCGCCCGAAGACGGCACGGCGGCCGAGGCTGCCCGGCTCGCGAGGGCCAAGGAGGAGGAGCAAGCTCTCGAGGCCAAGTTTGGGTCGCTTCCCAAGAAGGAGGAGGAGCCGGCGGCCAAGCCTGAGGCCAAGCCTGAGGCGGACGCCGATGCGAAGGAGGCGGCAGACAAGGCCAAAGAGATCGAGGCGAAGGAGGCGGCAGACAAGGCCAAAGAGATCGAGGCGAAGGAGGCGGCAGACAAGGCCAAGGAGATCGAGGCGAAGGAGGCGGCAGACAAGGCCAAGGAGATCGAGGCGCTGGAGGCGAAGCTGGCGCAGCTCAAGGGCTCGGCCTCGGCTGCCTGAGCCAGCACTCTTGGTGCGACAGAAGAACGCGGCTAGAGGGAGAGCAAGCGGAGAGAGGGGAAGAGGCGTTTCCCCTTGGGATTGTGGGCCATTTAGTAGGCAGCGTGCAGTAGAGGCGCAGGGCTCGATGAGAGAAAATAGAGTCACAGACAGCGTCAGAGTACGGCTTTAGTCAGTAGGGCAGTGCCATTTCACTCTGACACGCTAATCTTGAAAACGTCTCCAACGGAGCTCCGTGTCGCTTCCAGCGCCCTCCCCCGCGCTCTCTGCGGCCATGGCCGATGCTCCTAGGAAGAGAGGTCATCCGGCTACCGCGAGAGCGACCCAACTCGTCGACATCGTCCGATGATGGTGCCGCAAAGTCAGCCTTCGGAGGCTATCGTGGCGTCGAGCCGGCAGTAGCCGTGACATGTGGTTCCACCACCCCTCGTAGGCTTTGCCTCTGACCGCCACCGTTCCCAGGCTACCTTATGGGATGGAAAGGAAGGCTCGGCGAGCGTATAGAAGCGTGCTCGACCTCGTCGTGGCAACCTGTATGGCAGCGCTGGTAGGCGCGATGAGCGTCGTGCCACCTGACCCGAGACGGGTCGCAGGCGTCGTACCGAGCGCGTCGAGAACGTGTCCTGATGTGATCTGCACGGGTGAGTCACGTCGGCGTCAAAGGAGCGACGTGCGACCTGTCAGAGCTTGATCTCCGATCTCAGCGGCGTCGAGTCTCGTCTCCGGCGCGCAAGCCCGTCCACTCGGCGGGGTCGCAGCTGCCTCTGGAAGGCACCGAGAGGTACATTTTTCGCGCAATGGTCAAAATCAAGGTTTTGTAACGCGGGCTGTGCCACAGTGAAATTGGCACTAGGACTAGCCTAGAGTAATTTACAGAGAGCACTCTCGTTTTGAGTCAGAGGACACAGAGCTGCGACCCAGACGCACTCTCGGGAGACATCACACGCGTGAGTGTATCAACAGCTGTGTGAACACACAAGGCGTCGAACTGGCGTTGATTCTTTGTGGTTTAAAAAAAGACCCGCAGTCATTCAGGGCAGCGCTCCGAGCTGCTTCATCGCCGCCGCGAACTCGTCGTAGGAGGAGCTGTCCGGCGCCGCGCCGCCGCTCGCCGCCTCGGCGGGAGGGGCGGGCTGCTCCGGCTGAGCGGCTGCCGCGGCGGGCGCCCTCCCCTCTGGCTGCGGGAGCGCCGCCTCGGGCTCGAAGGGGGCAGAGGCGACGGGGACCGGCCGCGGCCTCGCCACTGCAGGCCGTTGCACGCGGACCGCCGTCGGCATCATCTGCGGGCGCAAGCTGGCCGGCAGCGCCTTGCGTTGCGGCGGCAGCTTCGGGCCTTGCTGCGGCTCGCTGACCAGCTGGGGCTCGCGCTGGACTTGCAGCGCTGGCTGCGGCGCCGGCTGCATCTGCATCTGGCCCTGCATCTGCTGCTGCGGTTGTTGCTGCTGCGGCTGCGACGGCGGCGGCTGCTGCATCTGCAAGTGTGGCGGCGGCGGCTGCATCGGCCCCTGCCCCGCGTTCCAAGTGTGGCTCGCCGGCACGAGCCCTGCAGCTGCAGCCAGCCCTGCAGCTGCAGCCATCCCTGCAGCTGCAGCCATCCCCGCGGCGTGTGGCGGGAGACCGGCCGGCGGGCCGGGAGGGGCGCCTGTTCACAGCGGGTAGGCGTGAAGACGCGGCGTGGTCTCGGGCCGAGCCGCCAGCCCTCGGCGCACCGGGAGGCGCACCGGGAGGCGCACCGGGAGGCGGGCCAGGCGGCGGGCCGGGAGGCGGCCGGCCGACGTTCGGCGGCACGCCGAGCGGCTGGCCGGGCGGAGGACCGGGCGGAGGCCCAGGCGGGAGGCGCGCGGCAGTCGGCGGCGGCGCGCCAGGAGGAGGCCCAGGCGGGAGGCGAGCGCTACTCGGCGGCGGGCCTGGCGGCGGGCCTGGCGGCGGGCCTGGCGGGAGCCGTGCAGCCTTTGTTGGCGGCGCGCCGGGCGGCGGGCCAGGCGGCACTCGCGCGGCGTTCGGCGGCGGCGCGCCGGGCGGAGGCCCGGGGGGCACCTTGCGGGCGGGCAGAGCGACTCCGGGCGGCAGGTCCTCCTCCTCCTCCTGTTCACACCCGCACGGCGTGAACGGCGCCTCTTTCACGGCTCGGGCGGGCAGGCCCTCCTCTGCCTCGCAGGCGGCGGCGGCTGGCGAGGCGGCGGGCGGCGCCGCCTCGGCGGGCGGCGGCGCGGCGGCGGGCGGCGGCCCGGCGGCGGGCTCGAGCTGCGGCCTCTTCCACGATGTCTCCTTGCTCACCGTGTGGTGGTAGTACGTCCTCCCGTCCGGCGCCCTCGCCTCCTTCCACCCTTCTGGCAGCGGAGGCAGCTCCACGCTCGCGTCGGCAGCGACCGGCCGCGTCCACGACGTCGCCTTGGTCGCCGCGTGGTAGTAGTACGCGCGCCCGTCGGGCGCCACCGCCTCCCGCCACCCCTCGAGCAGCCCTCCCGCCCCCGCCGCCCCCGCCGCCCCCGCCGCCGCCGTCGCCCCTGCCGCCGCCCCTGTCGCCTGCAGTCGCGCGCTCGCCGCGGCTGCGGCCGCCGCGGCCGCGTCCGCGGGAGACAGGCCGGCCGGCGCGGGTGCCGCGCCGGGCCGCGGCGGCGCGCTGGGCTTGCTGCGCTTCACGCCCGTGATGGAGGACAGGTCGAGCGTCACCTCTGGCGCCGCGGGCCGCTGCGCCTCCTCCTCGGCGGCGGCCTTCCTCCGGCGCTCCGCTTCGTCCTTGATGGTGCTCAGGCTCTCAATCTTGGCCTTGATCTTGGCGTTGGTGCCACTCGCCTCGCGCAGGTCCTGCCGGCTCTTCAGCTTGTTGATCTCCGACTGCAGCGCCTTTGGGTCCGCCTTGTACTGCGCCTCCTTGCGCTCGTCGCGCTGCTTCTTGATCTTGGCGGCGAGCTTCTTCTTCTCCTCCTTGCGGTGCGCCGAGACGGGGTCCATCGCGAGCTTGTCCTTCTTGCCCATGGCTCTCTGCGGATCGCTCGGTGCGAGGTGTGCCCGCGCAGGCTGCAAAAAAAGAAATATTCGCGGACAACGCACTCTCTCTCACGTAAAAAAGAACTTACGGGCACAGCGCCTTCCTCTTTTCTTTTCGCAGGCGGCGGCGCGTGCGTTTAAGTGAGCCAGCATGGAGAGCGCGGCCGCAGAGACTTCGACGCTTGTGCTTGAGGACCCCGACCTGCTCTGCACAATCCTCGCACAGCTCCCGGACGCGCACGCACTCGTTGCGGCGGCAGCGGTCGCACGGCTGTGGCGCGTTCAGGGCCGCGACGACCGCGTGTGGCGCGCCCTCTACCGCAAGGTCTGGGGTCCGCGGGTGGGGTCGGCGGAGCCGCCGCTGCGCGACGTCCGCGTGGGCTGTTTCGTCGAGCTCTCCGGGCTGACTGCGAGGCCAGACCTGAACGGTCGGGTGGCGCAGGTGTTGGACAACGAGGCGGACGGGACGTGGAGAGTCAAACCCGTGAATCTCGTCGCGTGGGAACGGTACCTTCGAGATCAGATCGAGGTGATGACCCGCGCTTATTCCCTCCCTCCCCTGTTTGGAGAGACCCTCAGCGCAGAAGACTACGCCGCCTCAACTCTTGACGAGGAAGCGCTCCACGTGCAGCCGCAGAATTTGCACGGACAGTGGCGGCTTCGCTTCCGACGCCGCCACACTGGCTTCGAGTTTGTAAACCTGCTGGGCGGATCGGGGCAGGTGCAGGTCGACGAACACGGCTTCTCGACGGCCGTCGGCCTACAGACCTTGACGTACAGACACCATGGTCTCGTGCTGCGCGGCCGCCGCCCGCTCCAGTTTATCGAGGACGAGCTCGCGTACTTTGAGGTCTCCACGAGCGCCTCTTCGGTCGGCGTCACGGTCGGCTCGGCGTACGATGGACAGCGTGCACTGCACATCGGCTGGCGGAGCACGGCGTACGGCTACCACAGCGATGACGGCGCGAAGTGGCGCCACGACGCGGTCGCGGGCCCTCGCACGAACGGCGCGATCATGAACGGCGTCACCTTCGGTGAGCCCTTCGGGGGCCACCGCGGCTCAGCGGTCGACACGGTGGGCTGCGGGCTCGACCTACGCCGCCGCTCCGTCTTCTTCACAAAGAATGGCAAGCTGCAGGGCACTGCCTTTGAGAACTGCTGCCTGTCCCGACTTTGCCCCCGACTTTACCCGACGGTGGCGCTGCACGAGGACGGTGACCGCTGCCGCTTCAACTTCGGAGCAGAGCCCTTCCTCTTCGACATCGCTGCGTTTGCGGTGAGCGACGCGCGGTCGGCCGGCGTGATTGGCGGCGGCGAGCTCCCGACGCCGGAGACCGAGGACGACGGCTCGGACGACGACGACTCGGACGACGATGACTCGGACGACTCCGACGACGAGTAGTCGCTCGCACCCGCGACAGAACGGAGGTGGGAGGGCGCCCCGCGTTGGCTGGGCCGCGCTGCGCCAAGGCGGCGGAGTGCACTCTACAAGTACACGCTCGAGCTCGGCGTCCTCCTCCTTCATCCTCTGCTACGTCGCCACGTACGCGTTGCACGACGTGTCGACGTCGCACGCTTGCTCGGCCGCCAACCCAAGCAGCAGCCGCCGCCGCCACCGCAGCTCTGCTGAGGGTGCACGGGGAGGCCGCTGGCGCTTGGGCCTCGATGGGCCGGAGCCCCGACCGCTTTCAAAGCTACTAGTTAGCTGCGCCGGGAGGTCCACAACGCCCAGGCCGCAATTTCCCGCAAGACCTCGACCTGCTCTCGTCCTGCTGCTGCGAGCCTGCGTGCTGGGGTCGAGCTGCGGGTGCTGCCGTCTTGTGCCGACCGCGACCGGGGGGCGGGGGGTCGGAGTGGTGTTTTGATGCAATGAATAGGGACTTGAGATATACAATGAAAGGGATTCGGAAGAAGCGCGACACGTCCCGCGACGACCTCACGGACCTGACACTGACATTAACTGCTCCACACACACGATGCTCAGATCCCGGGGGCCTGGGAAATTACACCGCCTTGTCCTGCCGGGGTGGCGCGGGGCGACTGGCGCGGAGAGCGAGGGCGAGCGTGACGAGCCGCTCGACGAGTTCGCCTGCAGCAGAGGGCAAACGCGGTGTGTGCCACGGAGACGCGGGCGGGGGCGGGGGGACGCGCGCTGAGCACACCGACGCGTCCGACCCAGCGCGAGTCGGGCAGCAGATCGCCCGTGGCGGCATCGAAGCATGGCTCCTCGAAGCGGCGGATCGCAACCTCGGGCGCGTTGACAAAGGTGACGTCGATGAACGACCCGATCTGACGCAGCGCCTGCTGCCCCCGCACGCCGCCGCCGCCGCCGCCCGACGAGAGGATGGCGCCCGCCTTGCCCGCCCAGAGGTTGCCTTGCGTCGGCACGCGGGAGGCCCAATCGATGGCATTCTTCAGCGCCGCAGAGATCGAGTAGTTGTGCTCTGGGCTGGCAAAGAGCACCGCGTCGGCCGAGCTGACGGCGGCGCGCCAGCTGCTGACGGCTCCTCGTGTCGATCCGCCCGCCTCGTCGAGGTCCTGCGAGTAGAGCGGCAGGTCGCCTGCTCACACAGAGCCGCGGTGAGACGCCCTCGACTGCGGCCCTCCCGCGGGGAGGAGAGCAGCAGGTGTACCGATGGTGGCGAGACGCAGCTCCACGCCGCGCTGCCGCGCCGCCACCGCCGCAACACGCAGCAAGCCAGCGTTGGTGGAGGCGGCGCGCAGCGAGCCGCAGACGCCCAAGAGCACGAGCGGAGGCCAGGCATCCGGCAGCGGCAGCGTGTCCGGCGGCGCAGAGGCCGGCGCGGCGGCGGGAGGCTTGGCGGCCTCCGGGTTGCGCTTTTGCGGCCGCTGCTCAGAGCGCCGCGCCTGAGGCGGGAGGCCGGGTCGGAGATCGGAGCACCGCAATCGGCGGGAGTCTTGTGCGTGTGTGTGTGTGCGTGTGTGTGTGTGTGTGTGTGCGTGCGTGCATGCGTGCGTGCATGGGTGTGTGCGTGTGTGCATGTGTGTGTGTGTGTGCGGGCGCTTGTGGGTGCGTGGGAGGTGGGGGGCGCCGGCGCCTTGTGACGGATCGCTATCGTGCCCGACCCTACCACGGCACCCGTCACGCGAGCGGCGGCCGCGGCCGCCGCAGCAAACGAGGGCGACCTCGGCCGCTCGATCGGCGTCTCGCTCACCTAGCGCACGGGCGGGCGAGGCGCGGAGATGCTGCCGGGCGGGCGCCAGGCCTTTGCCTTTGGGGCCCGCGGCGAGAGGGAGGCTGGCGTGGCGACACGCGGGGCAGAGGAAGTGGAGGCGAGGAGGTGGGAGGAGCTGGCGGGTGCGAGAGAGGAGGGCGGTGTTGTGAGGAGATGGTGAGGAGGAGGTGGTGAGGAGGTGGTGAGGTGGGGAGGGGGCGGGGAGGGGGCGGGGAGGGGGCGGGGAGGGGGCGGGGAGTCACCTCGCTCGCGTCGCAAGAGACGCTCAGCTCGCGAGTCAGCTCGCGAGGCGTATGCGGCGAGCCGGTCCCGTTGGTCGTGTCTCCCACCGCCGCCGCGCCCGCGCCGTTGGGCGCCCATGGCGGCGGCTTGGCTCCGCGGTACATGGAGGGGGAAGGAAGGGGCGACTTGTCAAAGTCCTTCGAGCGGCCGCGCGAGCGGCGCGACTTGGGCGACTGCTTCGTCGGCGACGAGGCGCCCGACCGGCTTCGAAAGGACGCCGCCTATGGGAAGGCTCGGAGCAGGCCTCAGGAGGTCGCAAGACAAGTCCCGACCGGCCGTGCAGCGACGCCGCCGGCTTTGGCGAGCCGTTCGGCGGCGCGGAGCTCTTGGAGGTTGGCGTCGCCGGCCTGGCGCGCGCCGCGGCGCCCGAGGCCGCGCCATCTCCCGAGGCAGCCCTCTCTGGCGCCTGTGCTGCTGGCTCTGGGGCTGCTGGCTCTGTGGCTGCCGCCGAGGAGAGGAGGCTCGAGGATGAGCCCCCCGTCCCAAAGTCGTACTTGCCTCCTCCGGCGCGCATGGTCTGCATGAAGTGGGGCTTGCAGTAGACTCCGCCGGACAGGTCCATGCACCTGCGGCGCGACAGAGCGAGGCGGGCAGCGGGGAGGGGAGTGAGAGGACGGGGCGAGGGGAGGGTCGCGAGCCACACGCTGGGAGGGCGGTCCAGGCAACCGCGGCGGTGGTGGCGGCGCGTGCTCGCGCGCGGTCGGACGTGTTCGCGCGTGGGGGGCCGGCCGCGCCAGTTGGAGGGCGAGAGCTTGATGTTGCACTCGATGCAGCGGAAGCAGGTGTTGTGGAAGACCTGATCCTTGGCGCTCACGCGCTCGGCCGCGTACACGGTCTTGTTGCAGCGCGTACACTTCTCGCCGCCGCCGCCGAACCGGCCGAACGACGAAGAGCGCATGATCTTGGAGCCGGAGCGCGGCGCCGGCGAGGCGGTGGCCGGAGCCGGGACGGGAGTGCACACCGGAGCCGGTCCCGGAGTCGGTGCGGGAGAGGACACGTGTGCAGGCGATCGAGTCTCGCCGTGGGCGGTGGCCGGAGCGAGCGGCCTCTGCGGCGTCGCGGCCGCCTTACCGTTGCTGCTGTCGCTTCGGCGCGGCGTGGACGGCGGTGACCGTTCCGATTCGGTGTTGACAGTCAGAGTGCCGCCAGACGTCTTGAGCGCCTGCATGAAGTGCGGCTTGCACCACAGCCCGCCGCACGGGTCCATGCACCAGGACGACAGCGTGAGCTTCACGTTGCACTCCTTGCACCGAAAGCACGCGACGTGGAAGATCTTGTCCTGCGCGACCGCCCTCTCCGCCACGTACACCGTCTTGGCGCAGAGCGCGCACTTCTCGCCGCCGCCGCCGTAGCGGCCGAACGAAGAGGAGCGGCGCACCAGCGCGGGCCTCTCGTTCTCGGACATTTGTAACCCGCGGGCGCCACAGGGAGGGCGCCTGGTTCCTACCAAAGATGCATGCAAAAGAAATCGCGCTGTGTGGCGGGGCCTCTTCTTAGAGGCGGACGCCCAAGGGTGGGAGACGGCTAGCGCACCACACCCCTCTCCTTAAAATCCCTGTGTGGTGGCGGCGTGCCGTCCTCCCATCCCTCCCTTGGGCCGTCTGTTTTCTTTCTTTCTTTCTCTTCTCAGTTCTGGCAGAAGGGACCAAGAGGAGTCCAGTCTGAGCCATAGAGCCCATGTCTTTGCCCCCAAAGGTCGCGTTCAAGTGCCCGGAACGGACGTTACAGTGGTGTCCGGCCGGCGCGATCACCGAGCTGTGACGCTCAGGGCTGGCTCAGGGAAGCCTGATGAGGTACTGGTTTCTTTGCCCAGGGCTGGCCTACGGCCCGTGCTGGATCAGCTGAGCAAGGTTTGGGGAGAATCCCCCGGTCAGATCTTCAGATATTTTGACGGATGACCAAAAACGGGCAAAAACGGGGTGCTTCAGGCGCGGTGTGCGAGGATCAGGTGGGAGCGGGCGGAACTTGGATGTGAACTTCTTTTTCTACGGCGCCCGTGGTGTTACCTGTGTGAGACAAGTGTGTGCGTGTGTGTTGGCCTGTTGCACTCTCTGTTCCCAGTTTTCTAATTGGCGAAGTTTCATGCAATAGCTTAAAAAATCTTACATGTTACAAAATAAAACTAAATAAGGGACCGGTGGGCGGTGCAACCACACGGGTTTGGGGTTTGGCTCCGGAGTGCCCCACCCGCTCCCAGCGCGGCGTGTGCCTTCCTTCAGCGGCTGTTCACCGGCATGGGATCTGTGGAAGCTTCGATCGATCCGCTGTTCCGCGGCGACGACTCACGACCCGTCGCGCGGGTCGCGCAGCGTCGTCTCGGTCAGCGCAACCCGCGAGAAACTTGCCGTGCACGCCTGCCCTGTCGGGCACTGCGCCAGGAATCCGACCGACAGCGGCGCGCTCGGCTCGCGCAGGCAAAAGATCCGGGTGAGCGTCCATGCCTCTCCTCCGTCGTGCGCGTAGTGGAAGGCGAGGGCGGCGCCGAGCTTGGAAATGCGCAGGCGCACCGCCCCGCCCTCGACCGCCGCGCCGTTCGCGTCGTCTGAGACGCCGCGCCTAAAAGGAAGGCTCGAGCAGGCTCCGAGAAGGTTCCGGGAAGGTTCGCGTCGTCCGAGACGCCGCGCGTGACGACGGAGACGACGAGGGGCTTGCCCTCCGGAGAGAGCTCGTAGCAGCACTTGCACCAGTCGCCTGGCCCCCGGTGAACGAAGAGGGTGCGCTGCGGGAAGCTTCCGAGAAGGTTCAGGGAAGGGCCCCGGGTCGGACTGCCCCAGCTGCAGCAGGGCGAGTTCCCGCGTCGAAGAGAGACTTGTGTACCACCTCCACGCGCGCCGCCAGTTGCCAGTCGCCGGGCGGCGGCGAGAAGACGAGGCACGGCGCGTTTGCAAGGCCGGAAGGCATTCCTTCGCCGGGCGGAGGGTTGAACCAGTCCGTCCTCGCGCCCGCCGTCATCGTCAGCACGCCCTCCTCGACCGACGCGGCGCCCTCCACGCCGCCAAGCCAGCGCAGCGCCGGAAGGCCGGAGAGGGAGAGCCCAGTGCCGGCGGGCGCCGCCGAGTCCGAGCCCTCAGGCTCAGCCTCGCGCGGCCGTTTGCGCGCGCCGTCGGCACCACCCTCTGCGCACGAGCGGGCGAGCGCCTCGTGCTCGGCGATGCCCTGGCCGTATGCGGCCGCGTCCTGTAAGAGAGAGAGGGAGAGGTGAGTCGCATGGTTGCTTGTGGCAGGCGGCGGCGGCGGCGACAAAAGCAGGGTGGCCCATGGATAGCAGTTCCACACATCCTCCACGTTCTCGCCCGCGATGTACGTCACGTCGTCGGGCAGCGAGCCCGTCTTTGGCTTGGCCTTGTTGTGCACCTGCCGTGCCAGCAAGGCACGTGTGGAGGTGTGCGAAGGGAAGTCGGGCGTGACATTCCGACGCCACCACATAGACGCCCACCGCTGCAGGCGCTTGAGCTCCTCGACGGCAAACTGGAGCGTCGCACGCGTGTCGTCGACCTACTTCAAAATCAAGAATAAATGCGCGGCGCTCGGAGGCAGGCGCGCCAGCGGAACACCTCATCAATGATGAGGACTCGGCGGCCACGGACCAGCGAGCCAAACGTGCCGGGCGCCTCGTCGAACCACTGCTTGCAAATCACGGAGGAGTTCGCCGTCTTTGTGGCGTCGTCGTACAGCTCGAGAGAGATGGCGAGGATCGGCTTTTGTACCTCGGTCCGTAGCATCCGCGCCGGTATGAAGCCGCCGCCACCGATCGCAACGGACGTCGGGCGCAAACGCCTGAACCTCGGGCACCGAACCGCTCACGGTGGCGGCGATCTGACTGTAGGAGAAGTAGCGCTTGCCATCGGGCGCGAGGAAATTGCTCATCGCGACGTTGCACAGCCGGCACAAGCCGGAGGGTTAGGGACCTTGTGGACCGGGGTAGTCGTATTGTCTTTTATCGCTTCGGGTCGCTATCGCAAACCCTGTCAGCAGAGTCTCCTACGGGAATGTACGTAAGAGCTACATACACTGAGAGAGAGCAGTTGCAAAGATCAACCGCCTTGCGCGCAAGGCTCAACGCTCGGGCGTTGACCGCACCGCGTACCCTCCCCACTCCCGCCTCTCATTTGTGTCACACCACGCGGAACGCATCTCCATCGCTTCGGTGAAGGGGGTAAACCGTGCCATCCTCGATCGCTGCTGCAGGACAAGGGCGACCTGGATGGCGCGGAGGCGCTGCACCGCGAGGCGCTGGAGGCAAAGCGAGAGACGCTCGGCGACCGGCACCAGGACACGCTCCGCTCGATCAATAACCTCGGCAATCTGCTGATGAACAAGGGCGACCTGGACGGCGCGGAGGCGCTGCTACGCGAGGCGCTGGAGGCGAGGCGAGAGACGCTCGGCGTTCGGCACCCGAGCACGCTCGCCTCGATCAACAAGACAACAACCTCGGCGCGCTTCTGAAGAAGAAGGGCGACCTGGACGGCGCTGTACCGCGAGGCGCTGGAGGCAAAGCGAGAGACGCTCGGACCGGCACCCGGACACACTCAACTCGATCAACAACCTCGGCCAGCTGCTGCAGGACAAGGGCGACCTGGCTAGCTGTGGTGTGGCCGGGAAGCCGTGCTAAAGTTGCGTGCCCTCCTAAAGATGCGGGACCCACAAGTGCTCCACACTAAATGTACTGCAGCTGCCCGCACCTAAAGTGAACTAAATGTGGCGCTAAAACACACTAAATATGTGCTAAATATGTGCTAAATACGTGCTAAATATGTGCTAAATATGTGCTAAGTATGTACTAAATTTGTGCTCTAAAGATATATACGCACTCGAACACACACTAAAAATAGCGCACTATCCACTAAACTATCACTAAATCTAAAATTCATTTACACGCACTAAAAATTAAGACCCCCAGAGGCGCCCTCCTCATAGCGGGGAGAGCATCAGCGATCACAGGGTGGGGGCGGAGCGAGACGGGCTGACGGGGCTCGGGGGAGACGAGGGAACTCGCTACTCCTCGGAAATCAAGTGAATTCCGTTCATATATACACAACACGCCTCTCTCTCCGTGTCAGTATCACGGCCGACCCACAAAACTCTCGTAGACGTGCGCTGCGTGCGCGCGCGCGGAGACAAGGGACACGCGGACAGACGGAGCGCCGCAATACCAATACTAACGAATCCCTCACAGGTCACAGACGACAAACCAGAGGTCACGATACGCCCTTGCACAGTCCACAGGAGAGCGTCCCCCTTCCCCGAAGAGCGAGCCCTCTGCGGGCATTGTCCGCGCCCCGCACGCCGCCGCCTCGAGAGGCGAGGCGGCGAGGCGCACGCGCGAGGGGAGGGGGGGGGGGTGCGAGCCAGCCACTCACTCGAAGGTGACGGCGAGACGCATGCCGAAGTAGGCGGTGGCGACGTAGTAGGCGAGGTACGCGAGGAGGGCGACGGCGACGGCCGGCGAGCGGTGCACGTTGACGGCCTTGTCGAAGGTCCACATCCCAAAGAGCTTGACGAGGAACTGCCTACGCGGCGAGGGGCTCCGAGCCGGTGATCAGGCCGCGAGCGAGAGCGAGGCGGAGCGGAAGGGGGGGGGGGGGGGGGCTGCTTGTGCGGCGCGTAGGGCGGGAAGCGCGCGGCGAGCAGCGGCTTGAGGACCGTGTACTCGTCGACGGCGGGCGAGCGCGAGAGGACGGCCTAGACGGGGAGGCTCAAGAGACTTGCTGGCGGGGGCCCGCAGAGAGGCGGGGGCGAGAGGCGAGAGGACGCGGCCTTCTCGTGCGTAAAGGCGAGGAAGGAGCGGTGCGCGTGGTACGAGCCCATCCCCGACGCGCCTGGCCTCGGGCGAGCTCGGGTCAGCTCGGGTGTGTCTCGGCCGATCTCGGCGTCTCTCGAGCCCATCCCGGACGCGCCGACGCCGCCGAAGGGAAGGTCGTGGTTGGCGATGTGCATGACGCAGTCGTTGATGCAGAGCCCGCCAGAGGTGGTGCGCCTGGGGGAGGGAGGGGGGGGGGGGGCGGTCGCGCGAGCCCGTGGCAAAGACTCGCCGCTTGACGTCCCCCGGCGGCTCATCGGGCTCATCTCGGGCTCATCGCGGGCTCATCTCGGGCTCATCTCGGGCTCATCTCGGGCTCATCTCGGGCTCATCTCGGGCTCATCTCGGGCTCATCTCGGGCTCATCTCGGGCTCATCTCGGGCTCATCTCGGGCTCATCTCGGGCGCGCCGCTTGACGTCCTCCACGACCGCCGAGTCGGTCGCGAAGCAGTAGAGCGCGAGCGGCTTGCCCGTGGGGAGCGCCTTGACGAAGCTGACAACCGCCTCGAGGTCCGAGTAGCGGCAGACGGGCAGGATCGGCCCGAAGAGCTCGTCCTGCATCGCCTCGCAGCTGGAAAAGGCGCGCCAGTCGCCGCCGTAGTCGAGGACCGTCGGCTCGATGTAGCGCTCCGCCGCGTCGGTCCGCCCGCCGGAGTAGACGACGCTGGGGGGCGCGCCGCGCACGATCGCCTCGAGGCGCTTGAAGGCGCGCTCGTTGACGCAGCGGCCGAACCACTCGCTCTTTTGCGGGTCTGCGCCGTAGAACTCCTTGATGGTCGCCTGGAGGGGGAGGGAGGAGGGTGTGTGAGTCCGTGTGAAGCGTCTGTGAAGCGTCTGCGGAGTGTCTGTGGAGTGTCTGTGGAGTGTCTGCGGAGTGTCTGTGGTGTGTGTCTGTGGGGCGTCTGCGGAGTGTCTATGGTGTGTCTGTAGAGTTGTGTCTGTGGGGGTGTCGCCTTGAGCAGCTTGAGGAAGGGCTCGGCCACCGCCTCGTGCACCAGCAGAAAGTCGGGCCGGATGCATGTCTGGCCGCCTAGGGAGAAGGGACGCGCCTTCTCTGCGACTCACCGCGCGTGGGAGACCGCCGGACTCCCGCCGTCCGCCCGCCGTTGATGAAGGTGCCCCAGACCTGAGCAGCAGGGGAGGGGCGGCGGGGTGGGAGGGTGGGGCGCTCGCGGCATCGTGTGTTCGTGTGCTCGGCAGGGGCGGGAGTGAGGCGGCGGAGCAGAAGCGTGGCCACGTGTCTCCTCGAGCGCCCTCTCTCTCGTTGACAGGGAGGCGCACCCTTCTCCCGCGCTAGTCTGGATGCAGATGCCGGTAGGCGCCACTCTCCGCGCGGGCGCGGGTTCGGACTCACGCAGGTACAGGTGGGGGTGCATCTACCGCGCGGACGAGGCGGCGGGCGGCGTGGCCGAGGTCGGCCGAGCGGTCGACGATGGCGGGGGACTTGCCGCCCAGCTCGAGCAGGCAGGGGGTGAAGTGCTTGGCGGCCGCCTGGTGGTGATCTGGTGGTGATGCTGGTGGTGCTGGCGTACTTGCTTCAGAAGGAGTGACACACGGCTCGAGGGGTCACTCCTTCTGAAGCGAGGGGGGGGGGCGGGGCGAAAGAGGGGGGAGGGGAGGAGGGGAGAGGAGGGGAGGAGGGCGGGGCGGTGGTGCGAAGGGAGGTGCGAGCGGAGGTGCAGACGCAGGGGCGATCGGGCTGGCGCCTGCAGGATCTTCCCCACGAGGTGTCTAGGAAGTGTCTAGGAAGTGTCTAGGAAGGCGCCTGCAGGATGATCTTCCCCACGAAGCCCGAGCCCGTGAAGAAGATTTTGTCAAACCGCTGGTCGAGAAGCGCCGTCGTCACCTCGCGGTCTCCCTCGGCGACGACGATGGCGGCGGGGTCGAGGTACTGCTGAACGAGCCGCGAGATGACGTGCGAGGTGGCCGGCGCGTACGAGCCCGGCTTGAGCAGCGCGCAGTTGCCGCCCGCGATTGCGCCGACCAGAGGCGCAAAGCACATCTGGACCGGGTAGTTCCACGGCCCCATGATGAGGACGACGCCGAGCGGGTCGTGGACGGTGTACGAGCGCGCGGCGGTGTTGAGCGCGGCGGTGTCCGTGTAGTGCCGCGCCATCCACTCGCCCAGGTGGGAGAGCGCCGTCTCGATCTCCTTTTCGACGAGGCCCATCTCGGTCGAGTACGCCTCAAACGCCGACTTGTGCAGGTCCTCGTACATGGCGTCGCAGAGCTCCTGGTTGCCCTCTCTGAGGAGCCGCCGCAGTGCGTGCAGCTGGCCCACGCGCCACTCCTTTGAGAAGGTGTGCTCCGACGCAAACGTCCGGCGGAGCGCCTCCATCGCCGGCACAATGTCGGCCGCGCCGAGCGAGCCAGAGTGAGGCTTTCCGAAGGCGGACTTCTTGCCCCACTTCTCGTAGCGGTCGATGTTGGACTTGGGGTCGCTCCCCTCGACGGGGAAGGCCTCGCTGCGGGTGGTCGGCATCCTGAGCCCTGGTTGATGAGAGGAGACTTGTCCGTGGAGGAGCAGCTAACTAAACCCGATTTCTTTTACTTTTCCACGAGCGAAAGAACAAACAACTCATGCGGCAGAGAGGCCACGCACGAAAAGAATTCCCGGTTTGAAGATTTGTTTTATCGTTTTTCACTGCGCCCTCTGTTGTGTGTTGAGCACTTGAGCACTGGATAGGGTCGATTCCGCGTGGTACGGGACCCCTCCCTCGTGCCTCGATCGTCTCGCCCTCCCTCGCCCTCTGTTCATTTGCGAGAGATTCTCCCGCTTTCTGTTCATTTGCGAGAGATTCTCCCGCCATTCTCTCGCTCGCCATTCTTCCTCCGTTCAGATGTAATTCGCCCGCTTTTCAAATACATTTTGTGGCGCTTTCAAGAGATTTTTACCGCAAATTTAGTGCTCTTCATGGCAGTTTAAGGCAAGCGTGCCTTATCCTGGGACCTGGCTGGGTCCGGCCGGCGTGGTCGGGAGCCCTCGACTCCTCGGCGAGCTCTTTCCTGCCTCAATGACATTGCAACAATGAGTGCGAATCAGTGGACAGTGCGTCTTACTTAGTCCTTACTTAGCTGTCGAGAGCAGGTGGACGAGCGTGGTGCCTTATCCCAGCCGAGCAACTTGCGTAGTGCGCATTCTGCAGCTGTACTGCCACGGATCGTGCCTCGTTACGCGTCACGGCTCCGGCTCCGCGGCGCGTGGCGGGAGCGGAGGATCTCGGCGGGGCTCGTCGGAGCAAAGCTCGGACGGGAGGCCGTGTCGAGTCTTCGTCGCACGTCATCCCTGGTGTGGCGATTCTTTTCGCGGTATCCGCGGCGGGATATGGAGGGATATGGCGGGATACCGGGAGATACCGGGAGATACCAGGAGATACACGTGGATATGATGAGATACGGAGTCCCCACGATGTGTTCACGACAACCGCAGTGAAGCGTGAAACCGCAAATCGGACGCGAAGGCGAACCAACTTCGCGCTTCGACCGGCCGTGATCTGCCGTGATCTGCTGAGCGCTCGATTGGAACGGTCGAGGTATGGGTAGAGTACAGTAGAACCCCTCTCGACAACCTGGAAAACTGGCAAAAAAACTCACATACCCACTCCCCCCGCAGACAGCTCCCACATTTGCATGTATAATATTCTGTTATACCCTCATGGGGCACAAGACTGTACGGTCTGTGTACGGTCTGGGCTGCTGTCGGGCTGGTCGGGCTGTCAGGCTGGTCGGGCTGTCGGGCTCAAACAAGACTCGTTACACGAGCATCGATACTGTACGGCAGCGATACGCGCAGCTCGGACACCTGAGTCCTTCCTCACACAAAGTTGGCCATCGACCACAGCTGACCAGCGGCCGTCGACGCGGCGACCGCATGGCGCGTCGTGTGGCCCGCGCCGAGTGCGAGCGAGTTGGCTGCCGTGATGTTGCAGCTGGCGACGTAGGGGCCAGCGCGCACGGACGGCTCCGGAGCCTGCGTCGCGTGGCAGCCGTGAGACTCGTGAATGGCATCGGCGCAGAGCAGGTGGAACTGGTCGCGCCCACTGCGGAGCATCGCCATGCTCGACCAGCTCGAGAGGCGTGTCCCGGTCGGCAGGCAAAAGAGCTTGAAGACAAACTCGTCCGAGTCCGCAAAGGCAAACCAGGCGGCGAGCTGCGCCGCCTCGTCCGTGGAGGAGACGCGGCTCGTCGTGAGATGCACCGGCAGGGCGATCGCTGGCGCGACGAACATGTTGGGATGGCCAGTCAACTCGGTGGCGAGCGCCGAGCGTACGCACGGATCGTCCGACTCGAGCCGGAACGTCGTGATGCGAGAGGGCGGCAGCGACGTCCAGTCGAGCAGCTGCCTCGCAAGGGCCGAGATCTCCCGCTGCCACTCCGGCGAGGAGCTCGGGCAGCTGGAGCCTCGCGAGGCGGCGCTCTGCCCGTCCTTTATGAAGCGGTCGCCGTAGCGGAGGTGGACGGCGACAACACGCGTGCGCGTACGCGCGCGTGTCGATGGGTGCTCCGGGAAAAGCCGAGTAACGGCGGGCAAGGGCTTGAAGAGGGATCGCAGCACGCATCCGTACACGAAGGCGGCGCGCGTCTCTAGGCTCGCCGGCTCCACACCGGGAACCAGCCGTTGCCACAAGCCGAGCGTCTCGAGGTCGGCCAGCCAAGCCTTGGCGCACGCCCTATTGCGCGGCACCGGATTGATCAGCACGGGTGCTGAAAGGTTGATCAGGCTCAAGGGAAAGCAGCCCGTCCCCGCCTCGCCGCCGTGACCATGAAAGACCTGCCGCGTGCCCTTCCACCACGTGGGCTTGCCCTTCTCTCCGATGGACGGCAATCCAACCGGCGGCGGAACTTCGTACGGCGCGAAGGAGACAAACGGGCCTCTAAATGGCGTCTCGATGTACAAGTGGCGCTGCGTCGCCGCCGCCAGCATGTAAGCGGACAGCAAACCTGCAAGGTAATCTCCAAGGCCGATCAGCGGGAGGCTCACAACCACCCACTGTGTCTGCGGGTCCAATGCTGCGGCCGTCGGTGGAGCTGCATGGTCCCACGCGTCGCACGAGCTAACGGGCTCGGGCGGCGGCAACGCTGGTGGCGAAGGCGCAGGCGGCACGCGCAGCAACGTGGTGTTCGGCAACGGTGGTTGCATGCGCTGACGCTGCAGTGGTGACGCCGGTGTAGACGGCGGCGGGAGCTCCTGAGGTGGCGGTAAAAGCGAAGGCGACAATGGGGGTCTCAAAGCTTCTCCAGGTTGTAATGCAAGACGACTCACGAGCAAGAAGGCAGCAAACGATGCAAACGCGACGCTGCCAAATAGCCTTCGCGCGGACTTCATGCGGGAAGAAATGACACATCGTTGGTGCAACGCACTGCTCACGGGGCCATTGCTCACCGCTTCCGAGTCCTCAGCGGTATTGTCTTCTCTCGAGGGCAGATGATCCTCCGCTTGCGTGATCATGGCGATGTGCTGGGGGGCCCTGTGGGTCGTTTACCGTCGGGTATCTACTTATTTTAAGAGCAGGTAAACAGCAATAGATCCGGCCCTCAAGCGGCCTAATCGATACCCAGCCCTCACCGAATCGGTCCCTCGTTGTACAGCAATCGATCCTTCACACTGCCCGCGCTGCCAAACTTGCTGAGAATCGGTCCCCCCACCTGTGGCGCGAAGCTGATATGTCTCCCGCGCTCGGCGCGCCGACCGCGCAGCGGCGGCAGACCACCCTCCGGTTCGAGGGGCGCCTGGGGGTGAGCGGGCTGCCTCCGCCAGAGTTTGGCTCGCCCACCTGTGCGGGCCCCCCTGTACCCCCTCCCCCCCCCGGGTGTCTAGCAATTGGTCCCTTGGCAAGCGCGAATCGGTCCCCCTGGCTCCAGGAACTGATCCGGCACTACACCCGGATCTATTGCTGTTTACCTGCTCTTAAAATAAGTACCCGACGGTACCAGAAGCGCGGCTTTCAGTCGGGCACAACGCACGATTTGTTTTATCGTTTTTCACTGCGCCCTTCGCTGTTCGAGATTCTCCCGCCATTCTCTCGGTGAGGAGGGAGACGCTAAGTGCGAGCGCGCCTGCCGCGCTGAGATTCTGCTTGGCCAGCTCGGCGACCTGTACCTCGGTCAGGGCGGACTCCTCCGCTGCCGCCGGCGCCGACGCGACGCGCCCCGGCGGGGCGCTCGCCGATCGGGCCACCTGCAGGGTGCCTCCAGCCTGGGCGGCCCCAAGCCACCACGCCCGGAGGACTGCCTGCCGCCCGGGCGGCAGCGTGTCCATGTCGGCGGCTCTCGCAAAGTACGGCGAGACGGCGTCGACCATGCTCGCGTCGCCGAGCATGTTCTCCCGCAACTCCGCGGCGCTCGTCCCGTGGCCAACCATAGCCTCGGCGACAACAGCCAGCTGATCGTCTCCAAATGATAGGACAAGGGACTTCCCGCCCCGCTTTACCACGAGGAGCTCGACGATGCGCTCGACCTCCGTCTCAGCCCCCGCGGCCACCCCGCCGTCCCCGGACGGCGAAACCTCTGCCAGAACCATGCCGGAAGCGCTGCCCGTCGGGCCGCCCGCCTCTCCTGGCGACGGCGTGGCCCTGAGCGGCGCTGCTGCAGCCCTGAGCGCAGCCCGCACGTCGCGGTATGGATATGGTAGGATCGTCCCGGATGCTCTAACGAGAGGCTGATACCGGTACGACAGAAGCAAAACAGGCCGTGTGGGGTGTGGGTGTCACGAGGACAGACGTCCACGAAGACGGTGGACGGACGCAAACTCCTTATCCGATTCACACTCACGGCTGTCCTACTGGTCATATAGAAAGTCGGCCGTCTGCGAGCCCCCGGCTCGCCGACGGCGAGAGAGATGCCACGAGGGGTCGCGGTGGCGTCCATCGCCAGGCTCCCTAGCTCAACCGACGACCCTTCGGGATCGACGGCCGATCGTCATGCATCCCTCACCAGGACTGAGGAGACGGGGGAGGAGGAGAGGCAGCTAGAGGCTAGAGTAGAGCACCACCGGTTGCCAACAACAAACCCCTAAAACCGGTGCCTCACTCGTGACTGCCTTATTTAGAGTGCAGGCCGAATTGAGCATGCACGAACTTGAAAGTGGCTCTTGATCGCGATTCCTGAGATGAATTCCCTCGCGTTCGTCGCCACCCTCCTGTCCACTCTGCCGTCGGTCAAAGGCTTCGATGTCAGCAAGTGCATCTCCTCCAAGGTTGCCCGTGGCTATGCAAAATTCGCAGCAAAAAGCTTTTGCATCGACCAGCGAGTACAGCGCTGCACTGACCATCTCGCTGCCACGGTCAACGTGACGGACCCCTTGATCACCCAGAACACGATGCTGCGCGAAGGACGATTGACCACCGTCCTTGACACGTGGTCGAACGTGCTCGCCAGGGGTCTTGAGGGTGACTGGGTGGAGACAGGCACATACAAAGGAGGCACAAGCATGCTATAGCCGCCTTGCTCGCGCGTGCTGCCCAGCAGTCGCCCGCCTGCCCGACAGTGTCACGCAACATCTGGCTAGCCGACTCTTTCCAGGGCCTGCCAAAGGCGCGCAATGAGGACAAGAACAAGGGCAGAATGGACAAGGAGGGCTCGTACAACGACTATGGGGGCGTCGAGACGGTGAAACACCTCTTTCGCAAGGCGGGCTTTGCTGTCGCGGGCCCCAGCAAGGCGGCCGTTGGCGCCGACTTGACCGTCCGATTCCTTAAGGGCTGGTTCAGCGAGACGATCAAAGGCGCGCCGATCGAGAAGGTGGCGCTGCTTCGCCTGGACGGCGACATGTACTCGAGTACGATGGACACCATCCGGCCCCTCTACCCTAAGCTCGCGCCTTCGGGCTACCTGCTTGTGGACGATTACGGTGCGCACGCGTGGGTAGTGTGCGGACACTATGCGCATGTGTGTGCGCGTACATATGCAATCCACGCAGACTGCCGTTACCTGCTGTGCGCTCATTCCGCGTGGTATGTCCCACATGCCGCATGCACAACATGCACATGCACATGTACATGTTGTGCATGTGCATGTCCACAACCACATGTCCACAGGTCACTGGGAGCCGTGCAGGAGGGCAATCGACGACTACTTCACACTCGAGCAGGGCTGGCTGCCCTCGTTCCAGTGGAGCGACTACACGGGCGTTTGGATGCAGAAGCCGCGCGTGGCACCTGTCGCACCGCCCTCAACGAGCAGCTCCTAAGAAAGGGCGGCCGTGGCACACACCCTACTGCCCACGAGAGATCGTGGCTCATTAAGTACCGGACGCGCGACCGCCGCAAGTGGGCGAGGAAGTTGTCTGCTCGTCCCGACCGACGCTGGGCCGTGTCACGCCGGCTCACGGGCAAGTGTGGTGCTGTGTGTGCGCGTCTCCAAGGCTGCGTGCGGTTGGGACTTGGGGGCTTTTGGAGCACATCATGTCATGTAATGACTTGCGTGATGTCTGATGTGTCAAGCGTGGGCGGGGAGCGGGGGAGGGAGGGATCCGCACGGCGCTATGTGCCGCGCGCGCGCCGCGCGGACCCGCGGGGCGTCGGCGCGTCGCGGGCGTCTGTTAGCTTGGCGTACTTGGCGATTGGCGTACTGTACAAGGTAGCCTACCCCCCGGGGGCCGCTTAGCTGAATAGCTTTTGGTCTGTTGAGGCATTCGCGAGAAAAAGAATTTTGACCCAGGGGTCGCCACAGCACGAAATATTATATTATATTATATCGCGAGAAAAAGAATTTACCGGACGCTGTCTAGCCCGCAACCAGATACCGATCATCTGGCCCGCTGGGTGCGCTTCTTAGCTCCCCGGCCCTGGATGTGAGGTTACTGACTGCACTCCAAGTGCTCCAACTTACCTTACAATCGAGACGTTCGCGCAGCCTTCTACGGACTACGCCGGGCATTTCCTTTTCTTGAGCTTGCCTGCGGCGCGAGGGCGGACCGACGACCGTCGAGTGCACGGTGACGGAGAGCGGAGAGGTCGGAGCTAACTGCTAAGTGCCTCGCCGTCCTCAGGAGTCGCTTACGGCTCTAAAGCCGTAGGCGGCTCTCCCGTGGAGCGTGGTGTACCTGTGTTAGTACCAGTGCGTGCCAGCCCCGTGCCTCGAGCGTCGGTTGTGAAGAGAGTGAGCGAGGCGGTGAAAAATCTTTTCTCGCACAACACTGGGCGCCCACAGAGGAGAGAGGACTGGCGCGTACTCCCTCGCACAATGTGACCGTCCTCGAGATGATGTTCAACGCGGCGACCGTCCTCGAGATGATCCACCAGTCGGAGGGCTGCGGCATCTCGGTGAGAGGGCACTTCCCGCACACATCCGCACACCTCGGGCACTCGCCGGCACACCGGCCACCCGACGGCAGCCGAGCCCGCGCGCCGGAGAGAGAGAGAGAGAGAGAGAGAGAGAGAGAGAGAGAGAGAGAGAGAGAGAGACATAGAGACAGAGAGACAGAGAGACAGAGAGAGAGAGAGAGAGAGAGAGAGAGAGAGAGAGAGAGAGAGAGAGAGAGAGAGAGAGAGAGAGAGAGAGATCACCGAGGATGGCCGACTCTCCAAGCCCCTCTAGTGCAGCTGAGCCACCAAACGATTACAAGCTCTCACTGTGGTCCCGCCTCCCACGCCTCGACCTTCTTGGGCAGCAGCTGGTTCGACAGGTCCTCCCCGTGGCCTAGGCAGCCGCGCTCGCCCCCGCCCCAGGTAGAGACGGCGCCGTCGGCGGCGAAGGCGATGCTGTGGAACTCCCCAGCCGACACAGCGACGACGCGCCGGCCCGCAAAGGCCTCGACCTTCTTCGGCAGCAGCTGGCGCTGCTCGTCGCCGTGGCCCAGCTGGCCCCCGCCTCCAAAGCCCCAGCTCCAGACAGCGCCGTCGGCGGCGAGGGCGAGGCTGTATAAGTATCCAGCCGCGACAGCGACGACGCGCTGGCCCGCAAAGGCCTCGATCTTCTTGGGCAGCAGCTGGCGCTGCTCGTCGCCGTGGCCCAACTTGCCGAAGACTCCACGGCCCCAGCTCCAGACGCTGCCGTCGGCGGTGATGGCGAGGCTGTGGCCGGCTCCAGCAGACACAGCGACGATGCGCCGGCCAGCCAAGGCCTCGACCTTCTTGGGCAGCAGCTGGTCCTGCCCGTCGCCGTGGCCCAGCTTGCCATAGCCTCCATCGCCCCAGCTCCAGACAGCTCCGTCGGCGGTGAGGGCGAGGCTGTGCTGCGCTCCAGCCGACACAGCGACGACGCGCTGGCCAGCAAAGGCCTCGATCTTCTTGGGCAGCAGCTGGTCCTGCTCGTCGCCGTGGCCCAACCGGCCATACCAGCCATTGCCCCAGCTCCAGACGGCTCCGTCGGCGGTGAGGGCGAGGCTGTGGAAGCGTCCAGCCGACACGGCGACGACGCGCTGGCCAATCAAGGCCTCGACCTTCTTCGGCTGCCACTGGTCCTGCGTGTCGCCGTGGCCCAGCTGGCGTTCGCCTCCACTGCCCCAGCTCCAGACGCTGCCGCCGGCGGTGAGGGCCAGACTGTGGTACTCTCCAGCCGACACGCTCACGGCGCGCTCGCCGCCCAGCGCCGTCGGGAGTCGAGTTGGCGTGTTGAGCCGCGTCACGCCCTCGCCGTGACCGAGGAGGCCTGGCCGCCAGCTCTCAGTCTTGCCGCACGACGAGAGCCGCCCCTCGCCGACGATGAAGACGCTGTGCTGTTCGCCTGCCGCCGCCCTCGCCGGCGGGTTGGACTCGCACAGCAGCGCCGCAAAGCACAGCCACCGCACGGCACAGCCCTCGCCCTCTGGCTGCGCCCGCAGCTCGAAGCCGCGCTCTTGCGCCCACAAGCGGATGCCCTCCACCGCAAGCGAGGCGTGAAAGAGCAGCGAGACGGCCGCGACGCGAGCGATGTCGAGGGGGTCGCAGCGAGAGACGACGCGCACGAGGAGGTCCGTGGGGAGGTCGAGCAGGCGGGCGGGCGGGGTCGTGTCTGGCGAGGGAGCGGCGGTGGTGGCGGGAGCGAGGCGGCGCGAGCGGCGGCGCGGCGGGGCAGACATCGCGAGAAAAGAAATTTTGCCGCGGTATGTGAGGTTGCCGACTGCAAGTGCTCCAAGTTACCCCAAAAAATTGGCGAGCTGCAGCGCGCTTGCGTCGTCGAGTGGCCCTGTCACAGTGTCTCTGGGCTTTTGTCACTGAAGGTACCTGTATGTGCATGTGTCATGTGTAGAGGAGTGTAGCCCCCAAAACTAGGAGCGTAAACTCAGTACTCTCACGACCGAGGGCCGTGATGTGAGCGCTTCCCCGACCGCTCCGCCGCGTCGCTGCGCACCCGCTTGCCCGCGCCCGAGGCCTGCGCCGGCAGGGGCGGCAGCGCCGTCCCCTGGCGCCGCGCGAGCAGCACGCCCTTCTCGTACTCGAGCCGCTTGATCTTCGACTCGAGCTCGACGAGCAGGACGAGGTGGGCGCGGCACGAGTTGTAGAGGCGCACGTTCGCCTGCGCGCAGACGGCGGCCGCGCGTGAGGAGGCGCAGCCCCTCTCCCCGCCGGCCCGTCTCTCGTGCCGGCGCGGCCTCGCCTCGGATGGCAGCACCTTCGCCGGCATCGCAACGTCCCTCATCCGGCCGTCGAAGTGCGTCAGCTGCTTGTCGGCGGCCGGCTTCTTGGTCGAGAGGTCGGCCGAGCGCAGCCACGCGCCGACGGAGCGGGGACGCTTCGGCGCCTACCGTCTCGGCCCATCCCGGCTGATCTCGGCTGATCCCGGCTGATCTCGGCCCGTCTCAGCTGATCTCTGCCGGCCTCGGCCCATCTCGGCTGATCTCGGCTGATCTCCTCCGGTCTCGCCTCTTGCCAGCCAGAGAGGGAGAGCTCCACATCTCGGCTGATCTCGGCCGATCTCGCGGCCGATCTCGGCTGATCTCGCCTCCATCAGCCCCGCGAGCGAGGGCAGCCCCCCCAGCGCGAGGTCGTCGCCCGCGCCGAGCCCCGACGCAGACAGCGACGCCTTGAGCGCCTGCAGGGTTGCCGCCTTGCCGCCCGGCTTGAGGGCCTTCCGCTGCCCCCTCAGCCTCGCCTCGAGCGCCTTTGCCTGCGTGTCGCGGCGGGGCGGGGCGTGTCGCGGCGTGTCGCAGCGGGGCGTGTCGCGGCGGGGCGGGGCGTGGGCGTGTCGCAGCGGGGCGTGTCGTGGGCGTGTCGTGGGCGTGTCGGTCGCTTGCCTGCTCGAGCCTCCGCGCCTCCTCCGCCGCCTCCTCGGCTGACCGCTCGTAGAGGCGCTCGAACTCCTGCGGAGGGCGGGAGGGAGGGGGGGGGAGGGGGCATTGGGTGTGTGTGTTGTGTTTGTGTGTGTGTAGCGGAGGTGGACGAGGGGGCCCTTGAAAACGAGGCGTCTCCCGCCGGTAAAGGAGAAGGGGGAGTTCGGTCTTCACTCAATAGCCGACGCACCGTCTATGAGGTCTCCGCTCCGGGCCGC